ACATAACATCACTCAGCATTCTGGACTCCTGTGGTCAAGCATTTAGACCTGCACACTCCCCAGCACTGTGTTGCCACTCATGATTAGGGTTACTACATTATTAGGTTGGGCTGTGAGCTGTTTGTTGGGTTTTTTTAAGATGTTGCTATATTCAGGAAGAGGTAAACATGCCCACCTCAGGAAGAGGTAAACATGCCCACTGTGACCACATCACAAATTCTTAGCTAAATCTAAGCTCTGCAATCAGATGAAAGACTTTCACTAAATCTTCACAGATCAGATCCTGGAAACCTTTAATACAAAGGTGAAGGATGTGCACAAGAATAACTTGTAAGGCCAGGCCTCTCTCTTGGAGAAATGTTTCAGGAATAAAACCAGATTTTACTCTCTGAAAATGATCAGAGTTACTGTACAATTGACTTGGGGAGAGGAACTTCTGCAAAGGTTGTAGCTGACAAGTGCATCCATGAGGGCAATCTCTCGGAAAGAGAGAAATCTGGAAATAATGCTAGTTAGTGATATGCTTACAAATATTCCTAACATCCATGTACAGAACAAAGTTCAAAAACTACTTCACTCAATTAACACTGGAAATAGTCAGTCTGCCTTTTAAGTAATAAGTTATTATGGCTGAATCTTCATTACTAAGCCTGTAACTAGAAGGGCTATTTTCAGAAGGAAACTCCACCTTAATAATTCAAAACAGACAACTGTCCCAAGATACTCCTCTGTGCAGCTCCCACTGGCAGCCCAGGTTGGTATCAGTGGATGTCTGCATTGCAGAAGAACTATTTGAAAATCCTTCTCTCAACTCGAAACCTCACACTGCTTATAAGTGATATATTTTGTATACCTTTTTGCCAACTTTCCTTTCCTTTTCATTTACTTCTATTTCAAAAGGAAATGATCCCTTCATGCATGAGTGTACTTCAGAATATGCATCTCCAGCAGCATTTCATGTAACCTTATCATCTAAGAAAAATGACATTTTTTCCTTTTCATCCCTACCTACAGGGCTTCTACATTTATTCCTCTTTTGCTTAGGTGGAAGCACCTGTGAATCCTGGAGTTTTCCAGATTCCAGGCTTTGCTCAGCTCTAACTTACTCCTCTTGAAGTGCAAATCACCTTCCTGTGCTGCAGCACGTGAATGAGGACAGTAAGTACTGCAACAAAAAGGAAAGGAATGTCATGTACTCAAACGACAGTGCATTTACCTACCAGCATCAGAAACAAACTGTTCATTCTAAGTATGATTTTACAAGTTGTGTAAGACCTTTATTCTGAAAAACAATATCATTAGCCAAGGTAAGACTTAAGTCCAGACAAAACTGAGAATTGGAATGAAAGCCGTCTTCTCATGGATGCCATGACAAAGCCCAGCTGCTGCATGTTCAGCTCCTGTAGACAACACAAGCCTAAAGTACTGAACACTTCAATAATCACATGGTGCTTTCTCGAGCTTTTCATACAGCTCTCATGGGAAAATGGGTCCTCGGGAAAAAAAAGAGAAATCTTCCATGTAGTACTCTTCCCAGTAGACTAAAAGCATTTGCAAGTATTTAAAGTACTTATAATGAGCATTTGACTCAGCGATTGCAAGTTTTTTTGAGTGTCTGAAAACCAGTGAATTCTGATTTGGCTTTCAGCTCTTCCTCTTAACTTGTGAAGTGCATGTGACTGCATCAGTGCTTTATTTTCTCCAGCTAGAACTGCCATTATGTCTCTTGCACTAATGCTGCAAGGCTTTAATTGCCTCACAGGAGTACCGAGAGATACCAGATAGGAAAGCTCTTGATTGCAAGTAGTATGTTCTTCTTTATGTTTATCTGTACACTGAAGTAAAAATATTTCAAGCAAATATCTCTTCCTTGGGAAGCTTATAGTAAGGTGTTAGTTTGTACTAATAGTAATGTACTGCTACACAGATAACAGAAGCCAATGTATCCTACTGATATGACACTCCATTTTTACTGAGAAGCATGGATTAGATGCATGGAGTGAGAGCTCTAGTTCTTTCTAAAAAAAATCTGACTTGTGGAAACATGTCTGGTTCTTGTATCATGTATGGATAGGCACGAGCATCCAGCTGCTCATAAGATCATAACAAGTCATGTTCCAAAGAAAGTCAGAGGTCTCTTGTCCAACATTCTGCTCAAACCAGGGTCATCAGTGAGGTCTGAGCAGTTTGCTCAGGGAATTATCTAGCCTGGTCTTAAAAACCTTCAAGGACAAGAGACCACACCACACAACCTCTCTGGGCTACCTTGTCCCCATGTATGACTGTGCTTGTGGGGGCAGAGATTTTGCTTTCATCCAGTGTGAACCTCTCCTTTCAACGTGCCTTTTGTCTCTCATTCTCTGCCACAAAGCACTGTGTTCAGTCTGGTTCCACTGCCCTGAAGACCTCTCTATAAGTACTGGAAGGTGCTGGTAGGCCCCTCAAAGCCTCCCTTTCTGCAGACTGAGCAAGCCCCCTCCCTCCCCTCTCCTCACAGAGCCTGGCCTCCAGCCCCAGCCACTTCAGTGGCCTCCACAGAACCCCAGTTCATTAACATCTTGTACTGGGGGGACCAAAACTAGACCCAGGATTATGAATGCAGTCTAGTGAATGCTGAGCAGAGGGGAATAATCCCTTCCCTTGACCTCCTGGCTGTTTGTACAGACCATGATGCTCCCGGCTGTCTTTGCTGCCAGGGTAAGTGTCTGGTTCATGTGCAGATTGCTGTTCACCAGGACCTCTGGGCCTTCTTGGCAGGGCTGCTCCCCAGCCTCTACCAATGCAGTAGCTTAAAGCATGAAATAATTGCCTTGTCTATTTAAACACAAGGGGCATGGATGTAAAAAGTCTGCAGAAGCACCTAAAAACCGATGTGTTCAAAGGCTACAACCAAGATTTTGTTCTGAACAAAACCAGCATCTTCCCTATTCCTCTCTCAGAGCTAGTAGCCCGGAACAGACCACATGCTAATTTCTGTAACCTCAGCACAGGAATATAAACTGGAAGAGGTTTAAACCATGGCATTTTCACATATTATTTCTTAGCAAATATTCTTATCAGAACAGCTGGAGAGATGACAAAATTATGCTTCTTGAAGTGGTTTCTCATGTTCACAGCCTTAAGTAAAGGTCACTTTTTAAAGACCTAGCTCTTGTTTAAATTCATGTCCAGTCTCCAACCCAGAAATTAATCAAGCAACTGCACAAGACATGGTTTTCGAGATTCTTCCTTAGAATCGTAAGACTTTGACCAAAAAAACTGAGCACCTACAGCCTTTGCAAGGACCATCAGAGGATCAAGGGGAAGCAATAATGCAGCTACTGATCAGAGGCAACACTGCATTTTTAAAAACAGGTTTAGATCTTTCCAAGTGCAGATAAAGGCTAAACTACCAGAGAATTTAGGAATCCTTACAATCAAGGTTTATAAGGACAGTTCTGCAGCCTGAAATCCTCTGAGCCCCAAGCAGAATAAGGACAATGGCTTCCACTTTAGCAGTTTAGGATTCACAGAACAGCATATGAAATAAAAGCTCTCTCTTCCCTGTTCCATATGGAGTAGAAGCAGGACTATACAGTGATAAATTGCCATCTTATGCTGTAACAAACTTCAGTCTTTTGCTTTTCAGCTGTTAACCAGCACATACTGTATTTTAACTCAAGTGGCAGTAAAGAATTACAATAAAATACCACCCTTTTAAAGTTACCTTATTTTAGAAATACTGTGGCTTACACAAATCACATAAAACTAAGATAGCAGTTGTTTCTGTTTTTCAGTTCTGCTGGTTAAGTAATGAAGGATTCTTGGGTAACACGCAGAATAGATGAAAAACCTTTCTTGCAAATGAGTTTCTCAGCCCCTCCTGGGAGATTATAGGGTGGCCTTGATCAGGTAATACACCTGAAACACTATTTGCATTTTCCACACAAACTGCTCACAGTAATTTCAGACTTCTCTTAAGCATCACTGCAATGCATGTTATCTCCCTGCTATGAACATTGAATGATCTCCTGTCTTTATTTACTTTTTTTTTTTGTACGTTCTCACTAGCACGCAACCACCGTCAAAACGACACTGAGGACGCAAAGTACGTAAATCTGAAAGCACAGACTGTCAGCTGAGGCAAAATAAGCCAGTCTTTTCTTTGACTTTCCAAGATGCAGCTCCAAACGCAGCATTCCCTTTCCTCCACCCCCATCCCCTTTGTTACGGCAATACAAGTCACCAACATACATATTCAAAAACCTGTTCAAAAAGAGGCAAACAGACCCTGCTATAACGTCTCACGCTGTTTATCCCAACAAAAAAATCAAGTATTTGTAACGGAGCAGCTTTTCCCCTCCAAACCTCATAATGAAGGGAACGGGAAAAGAGCAGATCAAAGGCTCTGATGCCTTTGCTACAGTGGAGGCATGAAATCAGAAACGAATACAAACTCCGAGCGGTGCTGCATTACAGGAGGGCTCCTCTCGCATTTCCACTCCCGTGAAGGGGCTGAAGCCTCCCGCCCTCCCGCAGAACACTGGCACGATGCGGATGTCGCACGGCCGGTCCCTCCGGCGTGGGGCGGTCCGGGGGCACCGAGCGGGGCCGCAGCCCGGCCCTCCATCGCCTGCCGGGGGCACAGCGGGGCCGTGCGGGCACCCCCGGGGCCGGAGCCCTGCGCCGCCCACCCTGACCCCGGCCCCGGCCGCGGCCGCGGCCGCTCCGCTGTGCCCAGGGGCTCCCCTGCACCCCGGCTCCCCGTCTGCTCGCGGACGGCTATGGAGATGGAGATGGGGATGGAGATGGGAATGAGGAAGGGGATGGGGAAGGGGATGAGGCGGGAGCAGCCGCTCGTGATGGGGACAGTCCCCAGCCCCAATGCAGGGCTGGCGCGGGGCGGGGGCTCCCCTGAGGGGACCCGCGGGGGTGCTGCCGCCCCACCCCCGACGGAGACGCCGCTGCCCGCGCCGACCCCGGCCGGTCCCCCGTCCCGCACCCCCGGTGTCGGTGCTTACCGCGGAGCCGCGCGATGCCGGTACCGCTCCCGGTGCCGGTGCCGGTGCCGCTCCCGCTCCCGCCGCCGCAGCCGCTCTTTTGTGTGGCTGCCGAGCGCGAGCGCCGCACACCGCGCCAGGCCCGCCCGGGAACCTGCCTGCGCCGCCGCCCCGGAACCTGCATGGCGAACAGCGCCGCGCTGCTCACGGAGGGGGTGCGGGGCTCTGCGGTGTGTGAGGGCTGTGCGGTCTATGTGAGGGCTGTGCGGTGTGTGAGGGCTGTGCGGTGTGTGAGGGCTGTGCGGTCTGTGAGGGCTGTGTGCTGTACGGGCCAGTGGTGTGAGGGCTGTGCGGTGTGAGGGCTGTGCAGCGTGAGGGCTCTGCGGTGTGTGAGGGCTGTGCGGTCTGTGTAGGGCTGTGTGCTGTGTGAGGGGCTGTGAGGGCTGTGCGGTGTGTGAGGGCTGTGTGCTGTGTCGGGGCTGTGCGGGGCTGTGCGGTGTGTGCGGGGCTGTGCGGTGTATAAGGGGCTGTGGGGTGTGAGGGGCTGTGCAGTGTGAGGGCTGTGCGGTGAGGGCTGGGGTGGTTTGTGAGGGCTGTGCAGTGTGAGGGGCTGGGTGTGGGAGGGCTGTGGGGTGTGAGGGCTGTGCGGTGTGAGGGCTGTGCGGTGTGAGGGCTGTGCGGTTTGTGAGGGCTGTGCAGTGTGAGGGCTGGGGTGGTGTGAGGGCTGTGTGACCAGCGGTGTGTGAGGGCTGTGCAGTGTGAGGGCTGTGGTGGTGTGAGGGCTGTGCGTGTGAGGGCCAAAGGTGTGAGGCACGGCGGTGTGAGGGCTGTGCGGTGTGAGGGCCAGGCGGACTGCGGTGTGAGGGCTGTGCGGTGTGTGGGGCTGTGCGGTGCTGGAGCTTACAGCCCAAAGGGACTGTGCAGTGTGTGAGGGCTGTGCGGTGTGAGGGCTGTGCTGTTTGTGAGGGCTGTGCGGTGTGTGTGGGGCTGTGCGGTGTGTGGGGTGTGCGGGACTGTGCGGTGTGTGAGGGCTGTGCGGTGTGAGGGGCTGTGCTGTTTGTGAGGGCTGTGCGGTGTGAGGGCTGTGCAGTGTGTGGGGCTCAGCGGTGTGAGGGCTGTGCTGTTTGTGAGGGCTGTGCGGTGTGAGGGCTAAAGGTGTGGGGCTGTGTGGTGTGAGGGCTGTGCGGTGTGTGAGGGCTGTGCGGTGTGTGGGGCTGTGCGGTGTGTGGGGCTGTGCGGTGTGTGAGGGCTGTGCAGTGTGTGAGGGCTGTGTGGTCTGTGCAGTGTGTGGGGCTGTGCGGTGTGCGGGGCTGTGCGGTCTGTGCGGGACCGTGCAGTCAGTGAGGGCTCCACACAGAATGGCCTGGAACGCAGGTATGGACTGACCTTCAAATCCCCGCTTGCACTGGGCTGGAGGCCCCGCGCTGTGGCAGCCCCGGGGTAGCTATACCAGCTGCTGAGCATAGGAAACACCATTTTGTGGGGTTTTTTTAGTCTTATTTTTTGTTTAGTTGTTAAGATTTCTGTTAAAACTGACTAATACCAAAACAGCCATTTGCTACTGCAATTTTCCGTCATGATTTTGTATGGTGACTTTTCCCATCTGTCCTTTTCTATATCCCAACTACTTGACCAAATTTTGGTTTTCTTTTGGAGAAAATGAGAACTCAAACATTACCTAAACTGTGTGTATGTTTTACACAGAACTATAGCATATCTACAGATAAAATCTGTAGCTGGATTGTTTAAACACTTGGCAAAAAATGTTTTAATTCATATTATTAATTCCCAAAATTGTTAACCTGATGAAATAGCTTCATATCCATAAGGAAGTTTCACTTTCTCAATCAATATACCAGAAGCAGTATTTCCAGCTCCATAGGGGAGGTGTGTGTGTTGGAGTTACTGCAGCGGCAAGTGTTGTACTACAACTGACCTCTCAAAAATTCCCTCCCCAAAGGGAGAGGGATATATTTTTTTAACCTCTTAAATTTAAGTTTCTAACAAACATTCTTCCTCCACCTCATTTTGGAGACAGGGGCTCAGACAGATGGTTATTATAGAAAACTACAAAATGGAAGGTAAAAATCAGTGCATGATATCAGTCCAAGAACACACCTCTCTGTTACTCTTCAATTTCTGGAAGTAATCTTTCCCATCCATGCCAGCCATGGATGCAGAGCTGGATATTCCCCCTATTTAATGCAAATTGTGCATCATCACGTGCGCCTTCAGAGTACTTGCAGTCACAAGTTACTTCAGAACTTTTTCTTTAAGTCATGTATTGAACATGTCTTTATTACTGAAAAAAAAATGCAATGTTAAAAAGTAAAAATCTTCATTGAAAATTAACTTTATAGAAGATTTTAGTATCTATTTGCTATTTTTGTAGTAGCAAAGCATAACAGTTGGAAGGCCACTTTAGATTACATCTAGAAAAGTCATGGAATGCTTCAAATATATCATTACTTTAAAATGTATGAGAATTCTTCGTTTGTGAATCTATGCTATAAATTTTGCAGTTAACAATGCTCCTTAACAATATGCAAGACAGTGCAAATGAACATTTAAACAGTTGACGTAATTTTACATATATTTAAGGATTATCCCATCACAGGATACAAACATCCCTTCTTCATAATAAGATAAATTTACATTTCATAAAATGTTCTAAGTGCTTTGAAAATGCTTATCAAAGGTGACATATTCTGCATTCCTAAGAGGGTGAGGTCTTGCACTAAAAATGCCAACACTGTGTTATTAATTTATACATTGTTGGTAGTTTCCATTTTCATATTAATTAATTGGTTGGACTCAATGATCTTATTCTGTTTCACAGTCTAAATGGCCAAGATGGCACCTGCTTTGGTAAATTAATTGAGTATTGAAACAATTAACTCTTGAGTTTTTGTCTTAAACAAGGGTTCTTAAGTCCAACAAACCCAAGTCAGATCACTACAGAAGGAATTTCTTCTAAGGATAGAATCAAATGGAGTGCCAAGAAAATCACTGAGAGCTCCTACTGTAAGTACCTCAAGTAGATAATGTAAACATCTCCATGTTTTGTGGTCTCTCTGAGAGACTTCAGATTTGCACACCTGTAAGATTAGCTTTTAAAAGGCATGAAGTTAGCTCTTTTTTCAGCTTTTTGAGTTTGCTTCTAGGTTTGTCCCATTATAGGGAATTCTCCCACCTAGAAGTGACCTGAGGATTGCATAAAAGAAGTTAAAAAAGGTATTTTGCCTCATTTAATTATGAGCCCTTTAACTATCTGAGTAACGTTGATGGAGTCCAGAAATATGTGCCTTGTCTACCTTAGGCAGCATAAAATGGGAACATGCTTGATCTCAGAGGGGAAAAAAGGCACATGGAGAGATTGGAACAGGGAACTTGCACTTGACTAATGACCCAAGCATGAGAAAATTAACTGGCAAAATATTAACACTTCATCTGTACCTTTTTAAAAACCAACCAACCAAACAAACCAAAAAAACAAATAAACAACAAAGGAAAAAAAAACATTGTCAAAGCCTATTTCCCTTCTGAGCTAATCCGGCTCCAGTTATTTCAATCACCATTCTTTCCAGAAGTTGTATTCTGGTGCAACAGGGGTGTATCATTAAGTGTCCCTCCACTGATAGAAGCAAATCAGTTCTCTACTTCTCCCGTGTCCATCCCTGAATTTCCACTGCTTTTCTTGATGTTACTCCCCTTTTATAATCACGGCGGTGGCCCTGGGTGTAACCCCAACCCCCTGCTAAGTCACAACAGTGACTCGTGAGGGCTGCCTGAGTTCAGGGGAAGGACCACACGGTTTGTACAAATACGGGGGCCGATCCTATTCCCACTGAAGTCTATGGGAGTTCAGCTTAGGAACTGAACTTCAGATTCTGGAGCTGTCCAGCTCCCATGGCTATTCCTTTCAAGTCTGTATCTCCAGAGGTGGAAATTCTCCTGTCTTCCAGTGTATACCCAGATGAGTGAGGGGGTCTGATCCCACCAAATGCTTAGAGCTTTAATAAGCATGATCCAGTGTGGGGTCTTGACTAATTTGCAGACCTAAACTCTTTTTGGAGAGGGTTGGGGATTTTTTGGTAATACCTTGACTTCCACCTTGTGAGGAGTCTGATGTAACGTATAAATTGTGATAGAAGCATGACTTAGTTAGGATGAACAGAATACATCAGCTGAGTTAGAGTTAGGCACCGACAGATCACTCAGCCAGGTTACCAGATACAAAGCATGACAAGCCTCTCCCTGCTAATAAGACAGGGAGCACAATCAGGCAAGTGGAGTAGGTGTTGTTTACTCCAAATCTCCATTCCCCAGTACCACATCAAGCTCCTACTCTAAGTCTATTGAATGACGTTGTACACAAAACTCCATCTCCTTCAGACAGGACAAAGAGATGGAAGATGAACCAAGAGAGCACTGCCTTGTTTTCTGTTGGTGTTAAATTCAAAGCCTTGTGTTCAATTCCCTTGACATGTAACCAGGGAGGCTTCTAGTCTTGGCATTCCTGTGCTAGTTTTGCAGAAAAGATTCTTGGACAGAATGGAAAGACAAAAGCAGCTCTGCTCACAGAATGTCTCCTAGAACGGCAGAATCATATTTCAGGAATATTAAATCATTCTGCATTTCCATCGTGAGCCCTAGGATTCCTAAATTCAAACAGTTTAGAATTTAGGTCACAAACTACCCTCTAAACAGTGATTTGATGAAACACAGAAACCCTGTGGAAGGCTGTGTTTTTCTTAAAATATGACAGAAGGAATATTTATTTTCAGTACAAAATGGTTTCATTAAAAAAAAAAGCATGGCTTTGTAGAGATTTTTTCAGAAGTAAGATTCATAAGGAAGCATCAGTGTCTTTAAAACTCTGTTTAAATCTCAGGTCAACATTATACTTGTATTTTGTTGCAGCAAACATGACACACATCACAAATAATTCCATTCCATTAGGTAAAAACTCTCCTAGACTAAAATGAACTTACTTCATATCGAGCTGGAGCTTTTCACTGTACATGCAAACATGTAGGAAAATATAAAATTGAGATTGTGATTTAGCTAGGGAAAATTATGACTTTTAAGGATTAAGAAAACTAGAGAGGAACATCAAGTCTTTAATTTCTACAGCTGACATGTAAAAAAAAACTATAAACGAAAGTATCAGGACAAAGACTGCTTGGGTAATGTGCACCAATAAAGTGAAGACTGTAAATTTACTGTCTGTAAATAAGTCAACAAACTGTGGCTGCAGCCTGTGACACAAGCACACTGCATGCTCTTTAATGTTCAAGACACTCTACAGAACCAGACTTAGGTGGCATGTGTTTGCAAGTGCTCTTGCACAAAAAAACCTTATCTGTAAAGTAAGTGAAAAGATTAATCACTGCTCTTTCATGTCTCTCCCACATACCCTTCTATGGATAAAGCTTAAAAAAAACCTCAGTAACTGAAAAAACTCAAATGTGACAAGTACATTACAGTTTGAGATATATGTCAGGCAAATCATTTTTCAGGTACTCTTCTGGCATTGCCTGCATATCCACAGAGTTCATAAAACAACTAAATGATGATTTATGCATGGTAACTTCCTTGGCAGTAATTGTTATGCCAAGAAAAACTTATTTACTGATTGCAGACACCCATACAATAGCAGACGGATTTTTTTATTCATGAACCAATCAATCAGTGTGAGGCACAGATGGTGAATGGCAAAAACAGAAAACACAAGGTTCATTTTTCCTTCATTTCTAAAGGGAATATCTAAGCTATATTGTTGTCACTGAGAAGTGGGTCTCTGCTCTGAAATGTAGAACAAAATAATGTGGGTTGACCTAGAAACTGTACAGTTTCTGTGGTTACAGAGGTAAAATCGTGCTGCAAACAAGCAACAAAACACAAATTTCTACGGTACATATGTAACTTGGCTCACAGATTTGTCTTTAGAATCACAGAGAATGCAAGAAATGCCAGCATGTTAGTTCTGAAAATCAGATCAGCAACAAAAAAGCCAAGAAAATTACCCTGAATCTGTAGCACTCTTTCAGTACTCAAAAGCTGTACTTCATCTGTGGGAACTACAATGAACTTGTAAAGACTGAACACCACATCAATATTCCCAGCACCAGCTCGGAACTTCACAACTCTTCCATTGTTTTATTTATGAATATTACAGCTCAAGCTTGCTCAAGTTCCACAAGGACTCCATGGCAATCTTTAGGGTGCAGAAAAATCACAGGTTTGCCATGTGCACCTATTTTTGGCTCTTCACTCAATACTCGCATCTGTTTTTTCTTCAGTTCTGTCATAGCCGCTTTTATGTCATCGACCTTATAAAAAAATACAGTTCACACAAATTAACATCTGACACTGTATTATGCGGATTTTATGGTGAGGAGCAATAATAAATTTCCTTACTAATATGTTACTTCTAAATTCTGACATAATTCTGAAAATAAATTAAATTATAAAACCTTTTTAAAACATCTAGTCTTAAAAATAAAAATAATACAGAACTTTGTTATTTGAACATTTTACAAAATACTGTTTAACTAGATTGTTATATTTAAGAAATTAATAAACTAAAATCACTCATGCACAAAGCCCATTGATTTTTTTTATGTTGTTGCTTTATAAGGATTCCATAAATAATCTAAACTCTGCATTACTATTACTAGGAAGATCATATTGCTTTCAAACTATCAATAACTAAAGAAAAATGCCTCCCTTTCTAATTGACGACAGCACACTGACTCATTAGATGCTGGTGAAAAGGCAGGGCAATGGGCAGCAGGGAAAAGGAAAGGCCTTTTAGATTTATATATCCTCGCATTTCTCTCTTACTCTGCTAAGTGCCCAGCATGTTTTTCACTGCAGGTATTCAACTAAGACTGGGCAGGAATAATTTAATTCCTTCTTACAGTATTTAACTTGAATGAAACAAGTTCCCTGTCAAAACATCCATCTAAATTTTCCTTTGTACAAGACGGAAGAAATTAAGAGTGTTTTGATAAACTTGTTAGGCTTCCTCTCCAGTATGGAAAGAATTTTTTCAATTCAGCTTTTTGCAATAAAATTGTTCATAGAAAGATATTTCTACAAAATATTTTTTTACATTTCAAATGAACAATCAATTGACAGTGAAGTTCTTCAATAGTTTTTATTAAAACCCTTTCTGCTCAACTTAGAAGACTACTTACCTTTGAAACTGTAAGATTTTCCATTCTGAGAATGGGAAATTGGAGGAGGGAGGTTAACATCTTTATGACTGACAATGGTAGGGACCAGATTTGTTTTTCAGACCCACTTAAATAGCAGTTTAATGATGGGCAGCTTTTCTCTCTGTGTGAATTAGTCTGTAATTTTCCACTTGTTTTTGCATGGAGACAAACACAACTGACTTAGGACAATCTTTTTCTTAATTTCTTAATTTTTAAACATTATTATTATTATTGTGTAGAGATTATATTAATGAGTTACAAGACTTCATTTAGGAAAATCTGATTGCATGTAGCACTAGTTTACCCAATTCATGGAAACTATCTGTTAGATTATGATTCCTGGCTTGCTTGACCTACTGTACAGATATAAATTTTAACAGAAGATTCTACATTGTCCAACATAATGCCTTTCCAGTTATTTTGTCAAAAGGAAAAAAAAAAAAAAGGAAATTGTAAATGTAGCAAGCTGTGTTTGCAGTGCTGCTTGTTTCCAGTCTCCTCTGAGGCTGGTTGTGTCACCTGGCACTGTTTGAAATGGGTGCTGGGCTGTCCTTGACAGGGTGGCTACACTTGCTGTTAAATGCCTCATTGGTTTTTTTTTAATGTTTCCAATACAGGTAACAGATAAATTACTTTTTTGTCCCATTCTTCTCAATTTTCACAATTAAACTGAGAAGTAAATTACTTTCCTTGACAACCATCTTTGGTTCATCTGCAAGACCATCTCTCATACAAAATGGAGATCTACATAGAAAAATTTCAGCTGGTAACACATATTTGAAACTTCTTAAACAGTATTACATACACTTGAAACCCTTGGGAGCTTTGAGCTCTTTTTGCTGAGAAATACCTACAATTTCTTGCTCTTGTACCTGTAAGTGAGAACCACTGGTCTTACAGAGGGCTGGAGGTTTTTTCCTTCTTATTGAAAATCGCTTCTTTCTTCTACATTCCCATTTCCTAACAATCAGGGTCAATTTAAACAGAATTAATTTTCCTACTCTTGATCGTCAGCAATTAAGCAAACTCAGTGCAAGAAAAGTTGCAATGTTTATGTGTATGTAAAATTTCTCAATTCCCAATGAGAGCACACAACTGGTCTTTACAGATGTATTCTGAAAACAATTTTTACTCACATCAGTAATCCCATTACTTTTTAATATTACACTTTGCATCATTACAGCTGGAAATAATAGTTTGCAAGCCTCAGCTCTGTAAAATATTTAAAACACATAGGCAGCAGCATAAAATTTTGCATCAAATAGGTACACTAAAACATGAGTACACTAAATAAGATAAGTATTTTACCCAGCACCTTTACATCTCTTCCAGACCAATCTCTCTTTGCTGGGCAGGGAAGAACAGGACAGGAGGCACTCTGGAGGCTTTACTGCTGTTTGGTAAGCACAGCTGACAAGCTCTTTTGACTTCTGCATATAATTATCAACTAAATATCAAACAGGAAGAAACTTTCTAAAATCGAAGTTATGCCTCAGCTTAAACCTACAACTCTCTTTTCCCACTGTATGTCCTCCTGTGTCAGGAAGTGGACACCTATCCCACACTGCTCACAAGCCCTTGGGGTGTCCACCTTCCACAGTGGCTGCTTAACCCTTCCTTCCCCAGTTTAGCCTTCACAGCACAAAAGAGAAAAAATGTGCACGTAGCTCATGACATTGAAAACAGAAAAAAAGGCAGGTTTAAAGACTTCTCCTAAGGAAATAAAAATTTTCACAAATATGACACTCTTATATATTTGTTCTTGATACAGGTCAAACCTATGAAAAAATAAGCATACTTTAATATATCTCATTATGTAATGTATTGTATTGAAATACCTCAATGCAGATATGATGCATTCCTCCAGTCTTGTTTTTTTGCAGAAAACTTGCAATGGGACTTTTCTCTCCTAAAGGATGTAGAAGTTCCAGCTTGGTATTCCCCAGCTCCACAAAAACAGTGTAGACACCGTGCTCAGGAAGCGCAACAGCCTCGCTCACCTGGGCTCCCAGCACATCTCTGTACAGGCACCGAGCCTTCTCCAGGTCGGGCACTGCAATGGCCACATGGTTAAGTCGGCCCAGCTTCCACAAACAGCTTGGAATGTTCTGTGAAAAGGACTTTGAGGATGGCAGGGTTCTCACTGTGGGAGCTGACATCTGCAGCCTGGTAAGAAGCCCTGAAAAAGAGTGAACAGCACTGGGACAATGCCTTCAGAAGGTATCGGTGCCTGCTCCTTCCCCTTGAAGGGCCTACAGGACACCAATGTCATTTTCAGTAAACATTTTTTTCAGAGACTAAGTAAATATTCAGAAGTATAAAAAAAAAAACAAAACCCCAAACCAGACTCAAATCTGGTGTAAATCTTACATATGCCTGTTAAAAAGAGGAATACGTGACCAAATGTAACAGTCCACTGTAGAATGTGCTCAACAGTGACTTCTGAATTTTTCAGAACTTCTTACAAAATAAGAGAAATTAGGATATGCCTATACATCTCAAAATGATAGCAAACAAACAAGAAAACCCATATGAAACCCTGGGTAGAACTGATACTGCAAGATCCAGAACATAACAGACTTTAGCTCTCAGCTGTCAGGACTAACTCCAGCAAGGAATTAAATGTCATGTTACATCTGAGGCTTAAGGTACACTAAAATCTCCTGAGCTTGATTTTTTATCTTTCTTCAGTTATTAAGTCACTTGCCCTTCTTACTTTTCACATGCCATACAGGTCTTATACTTTGTTTCACTGATCTATTTTAAGATGCTTAGAAATGTTTCAGTTCTAAGTACTTTGCACAATATCATGTCCAACTGACCAATAATAATTTAGATTATCTTTAAAGGCCAAAATCATAATAGTTTGCTTAATTTAACTAGTGCCACTGACTCAGTGTGACTTACTAAAGAAAAAGAATATGATCTGGCTCATCATAAATGAAAAGTTAATTATAAAAAAAATACTGGATGACCATGTGAACACAAAGGTTAGGGCTAACAAGGAGAGAAAAGATGAAGTCATGAAAAACACAGTGTCGTGAAAAGGGGCGTAAATTCTATCTCCAGAACTCTTCAAAGCTGCTCTCACAAGGCAGTGCTGATCTCTGCCCTGTGTCACCTTGCTGGGTTGGTCACAAGTAGTTACAGGGTTGCTTGTTTTATTAAAAATATCACACCCCCGTGACATATAAAACAAGGATACTTAGAAAGGAATGACATTAAAGATTATTGTGTCAGAGTACCAGAGTGTGGGGAGGGTGGGGAGGAATTGTGATCCTCTCAGTTTTTTCCAGCACCAGAATTACAGTCAGATGAAAGGCTACATTCACCAAAGCCACACTTCAGCTTCATGCCAGTTTGCTTTAGGCCAAGCCAGAGTTCCCGGTGCCTCCAGGCCAAGCCAGAGGCACGGCAGCATTCTGGGACTCTGGGGCATTCTCAGCTTTAGAGGCACAGCAGCATTCTGGGACTCTTTGGGGCATTCTCAGCTTTAGAGGCACAGCAGCATTCTGGGACTCTGGGGCATTCTCAGCTTTAGAGGCACAGCAGCATTCTGGGACTCTTTGGGGCATTCTCAGCTTTAGAGGCACGGCAGCATTCTGGGACTCTTTGGGGCATTCTCACTTTTAGAGGCACGGCAGCATTCTGGGACTCTGGGGCATTCTCACCTTTGAAGGCACGGCAGCATTCTGGGACTCTGGGGCATTCTCACCTTTAGAGGCACGGCAGCATTCTGGGACTCTTTGGGGCATTCTCACCTTTAGAGGCACAGCAGCATTCTGGGACTCTGAGGCATTCTCAGCTTTAAATGCACAGCTGTGCTGCTTTGCTAAGAGACCGTGCCAGGCCTGCCCCCAGACTGTGGGTGCCTCACAGCACACCCAGGGTACCTGCCCTGACTCCTGGAACTCTGGGAGGGCAGCAGGAGCTGTGATAAATCAGCTTAGCTTCACTGTAGGAAACTTAGAACTACCATGCCATGGGAATTCAAGACTCGAAAGCTATCAGTTAATTCTTCTTCCCAAAGACAACTGATGCAATCATTGAAGCCTTTCTGAGCATTGTGCTGCGATGGAAGAAGAAATGTTTGTGTGTATTTGACACTTAGAATTACAGCATGCAAAGGACATGTTACCAAGCATTTAGCATCACACAAGTAAGTCTATTCAGAATCTTTTGGTTATCCTAAATCAACATCCTACATTAAGTATTTCCAGAAACTTGTCTAGTTCTTCAAGTCACTGCCCTGGACTATTTCTTGCCAGACTTTCACACAGTCCATTCCTGTCACCTCCATCACAGCCAGAAGTTCTGGACAATTCTTTTTCACTTGTTACCTTCAGGCTCTCATACTGGTATAGTGCAGCAACTACTTTTCAACTTTTTACACGTTCAAAAATCCCCTAGCAACCTCTACACAGAAGAAAAAATCTTGGTCTGAGATGTCTATGCTGAAACTGTTTTGTAGATAGACTTGCCATGTAAATGCATCCGGATGAGGGCTGATCAAAGTAATTCCCTGAGGAAGCAATACCATGCAATGCCATAATGTACACGATAACAAACATGCAGTGTCCAGGTGACACGATTAGAAGCATAGATAATTAACTAGAGTTTGACCAGATCAACAGAGTAAATAATGTATTAAAAAAGGCAAAAAAAACCCCCAACAGTCTTTTGTATCCACCTAAGCTTCTACTGAAGCAGCTCAGTTTCCTACAGTAATTTCTGAAGACCTGATTCAATTCTTGCTGAAGAGAAATTCTTCCACTTGGAGAAGGGCAGTATTCTCCAAATGAGAAAATTCCTTTGAAAGAGAAGGATCCCTTACAATAGCATTTGTTATGTTTCCCAGAGCCCTTTATTGGTTTATTCTTCCTTCCAAACATGACCAGATCACAGTTCAATAGAAATACTACTGATGTAGGTTTTTTCCAAGCAATCTTTAGTAATAGGAAATACTAGGATTTGTCCCATTCTTTTTTACATGTCCCATCAGTAATTCTTGCTGCACTTCATTCAGGGCATATGACTACATGGTTATTATAGTTTAATTTGTATTTTTTTTCTATTTTCAAGTAAATTGACAGAGACAGATTGCTACTCAGCTATTACTGAAGCAATAGCAAAAATAGCAACAGAAAATGTTCTTTGTGTTGGGTTCTGCCCAAGAAATATTTGATTTTTGTGGTGTTTCCTGGAAAGATAATAAATTGAAAAAGTGAAGTATATTTCTAGGATTCTTGTAAAGTCAAAGATACTTAAATGCCCACTCATATGGACATTTATTCTATGAAGTCTTGTGAATTTACCCTAGCTCTAATCATATACATATAGAACATGAATTTTAAACCCATAATTGAATTGACTAAGATTAAACAAAAAGCATTTGCATTTTTCTTGCATTATCTAGATTAGTAACTATATAGATTACTTAAAATTCTGATCTTCTTCTAATCCAATAATCAAAAAATGACCCTGCAGTGAAAAAGAAAGCTTTTCAGCCAACTTCAGATTGAAAACCCGTTACTTCCATGTTTCAGGAAAAAATCACTTATATTTATGTATTATAACACAACTAGTCCTATTAACTGTTGTGGAAAATTTCTTCAATCAGAAAAGCATTTCTCCACTGACATACAGAATTATTCAAGTATTTATGAACTTTCTCCAGGGTTAAAAACCATTATTTTCTGTGAGTCTTCTGAAGGCAGTGGATATGACTGAAGCATCCATCCAAGTATCTGTCCTGCCTGAAAAACCTTCGTATGCTGACCCAAATCACACATGAAGTTGCTTCTCCTCATATACACAGCATTTGCCCCTACTGGTTTTTGGGTTTAATACCTCATTTCTCAAACACTGACAACCAAATCTGATTTTCACTTGCTATTTTGTCCTTTAAAGAAGATCCAGCTGACCCTGCTCTCATAGATGATAAGGAACCTCTTCCAGCTTCATTTAAAGAACATTTTTAAATTGGTCTGTTTGGGTTTTATTCTGTTCATGGTTGACTGATCTACCAGTATTATGCACATCAGAGTTAAAATGTAGTTACACCAGATGAGGGCTACATTGTGACAGAGCAGATTATGAACACGAAGTAACAAGTCTCAAGTACCCCATAAACTGAGATCCCCATCCCTCAAACGCTGATTCACAGGCTTGGTGCTTCTAACACGGGGCAGCGTTCATTGACCTACAGGGCTAAGGAATCAAACACAAGCCAAAGCCAACCCAGCCGAGTCAGGTTCTCTGCGGGGAGGTTTTCCAACAGCAGGGTGCAGTGAGCACCTTGTCACTGGCACTGCTCTATTGTCACCGCTGCAGACGGAGAAGAGCTCCCAGGCATGGAGAGGATGCTCTCCCCACAGGAGCCTGGCACACAGGGCTGTGTGTTGTTAGCCCTCTGGACCAAACGGAGCAAGGGTACAGTCTGGCCATCCTTAAATCCCAGCAATTTCAAGGCGGCAGGAGCATCTCGGGGACTCAGTGAGCCAACTAAGCTTAGGTTATCCGTAGTGCTGCTCTGCTGGGAGCTGGAGGGGGCTTTTGGGAATCAGAGGGGCTCCACAGGTCATAAGGACCGAGTCTCACTGTGCCGCAGCTCTGGTTTCTTCCATCAAAGTGCAGTTACACAAAGGTTTTCTTTCCCAGTATCCTACTGATCGATCACTGACAGCGCCGAATGTCTCATTCACTTTTCTCTTGCCATCTATGGCTACCAAGTAAAATAGTGCGGTTTAGGGATGGCGAGTTTAACCTACCCTTACTTACTACTAAGAGGTAAAACAGTCTAGGTTATTATAACGAACGGGAAATTATGCTGAATTTCACCTCCAAAAAAGACAAGGTCCACCTTAAAAAAGACAAGTTCCTCCTCGCGCCTCGAGTTTGGAGTTTGCTGTCTAAGTTCACTCTAAGCCAGCTAACGCCAGTTGTTAATATGCCCGTGAATGGGATCGGGAGACCTTGTTCCTATTGAAGAAGCGGTGGTTTCGTCTGGCCTGGGAGGGGCTCACGGAGATGGCCCTGGAAGCCCCGGCACGGAGCGGGGCTGGGGCTCCGGCCGGGCAGGCACCGAGCGCGGCGGGCACCGCGCTCCTCCCCGGGCCCGTTCCCGTTCCCGGCCGTTCCCGTTCCCGGCCGTTCCCGTTCCCGGCCGCTCCGTTTCCGTTCCCGGCCTTGCCCGCCCCGTTCCCGTTCCCGTTCCCGCCCCGTTCCCGTTCCCGCCCCGTTCCCGTTCCCGTTCCCGCCCCGTTCCCGTTCCCGTTCCCGTCGGTATCCCGGCCCGTTACCGGCCGCCCCGCTCCGCAGCACCCCCGCCATGTCCGCGGCCGCCCGGGGCGGGCCCGGTGCCGGGGGCGGGTCGCGGCTCGGGCCGTGCCCGCAGCTCAGCGCCCATTGGGCCCGCGCGGGGCCGTGGGGACAGCAGGGCCCGCCGCTGAGCGCTGCACCGAGCTGGGGGAGAGCTGCCAAAGACAGCGAGGGACATCTGCAGAGAGCGTTTCTGACCAAATCACACGGGATCACAGGCTCCATGAGGCTGGAAAAGACCTCTGAGACCGTGGAGTTTTGCTCACAGAATGAGCTGGAAACGTGTGCATCCAAGATAGCCCTTGTATCTGGGTCAGAGACTCCAAACTGTGAAGTAGGATGACTGTATCTGCTATACTTAGAACAGGTTTTCCAGTGCCGATGAACATCCCAGTCTATGGCAATCCCGCGCCCCTCACAGGGGAAACCGACAGCCCTCGCCACCCCAATCCGTGCGGGTGGCCCAGGGGCTCCTGCGAGCCGGCCCGGAGGGCGGGAATGCCCCGGTTCGGGGGGCGGGAATGCCCCTCTCGGGGGGCGGGAATGCCCGGGCTCCGGGGGCGGGAATGCACCGGCCTCGGGGGCGGGAATGCCCGGGCTCGGGGGGCGGGAATGCACGGCTCGGGGGCGGGAATGCACGGCTCGGGGGCGGGAATGCACGGCCGGGGCGGGAATGCCCAGTTCAGGGCGGGAATGCACGGGTTCGGGGGCGGGAATACACGGCCTGGGGCGGGAATGCCCCGGTTCGGGGGGCGGGAATGCACGGCTCGGGGGCGGCAATGCACGGTCTGGGGGCGGGAATGCCGTCAGGGGCGGGAATGCTCGGCTCGGGGCGGGAATGCCCCGGTCTGGGGCGGGAATGCCCGGTTCGGAGGCGGGAATGCCCCGCTCGGGCGGGAATGCCCGGCTCAGGGGCGGGCTGTGGCGGGCTCGGCGGGCGGAACTGTTGTGCGCGGAACGTCGTCGGCGGCCGCGGGAGGTGTCCGGTGCGGTGCGGTGCGGTGCGCTCGACGCGGCGCGGGGCGGTGCCGGCCCGCACGTGTCGGGAGCGATGGCGGCGGCGCCGGGGCCGGGGCCGGGTCCGGGCGTTCTGGGCATCCAGGGCATCCAGACGGGCGTCAGGGTAACGGGATCGGCCGCAGCGCGCCCCGAGCGCTTCCTCAGGTACGCGGGGCGGCGGGGGCAGCGTTGGTAGCGCTAGGGAAAACCCGGAGGAGACGGAGCGGTGTGAAGGCCCAGGAGGGAGGCAGTCACCGCTGAGGATGAGGCTGTGGAGAAAGGCAGTCACCGCTTCAGAACCGAGGGTCTGGGTCTCGGGTGTTTGGGGTGTTTGGTGCTGTACAGTTTACTCCTGCAGCGCTTCAGTACGATCGACATACTGTAAGAGGCAGCTAGAGAAGGGTGGCGTGCTCTGTGCAGCTGCTGCTTCATCCACAACGTGTAGCGAAGCTGAAAGGATTAGGAATCGTCTCTGTTTCTAGCAGTGTGTAGTGGCGGTGCTCCAGGAGCGGTGCAGAAGGTTAAGCCACCCCGGTGGTTGTTGAGAGCTGCTGTTCTGTAGCACCAGAACGCCTGAGCAGATGTGACCACGTGGTAACTTCACGGAGGGCGTAAAACCAATCAAAGGTGGTGACATCTGCAAAGTAAAAAAATAATATGAACTTGTGCTTTTAATTCTTTTTTCCCCCCCGCCCTTAGTGTGCAAGAGGGACTGGCTGCCAACTTCAGAGCATTGACAAAGACTCTCTATGATTTGAATAAAGGAAACAACATCGTTCCTGGGGGTCCTCTAAAAGAGCTGGTGATCGAAAACTTTGATGAGGAACAGATCTGGCAACAACTAGAGCTCCGGAACAGTGCGGTTCTCGATTTCTTCAGGAAATCCATTGCCAGGGATGCCAAGGATGACGATCTTTGCCTTCTCTCGGACCAGGAAGAGGATGGCTCTGATGCAGAGCCCAGCAGTGAGGGGGAAGTGGAAGACAACACGATGGAAGCAGAAGCTGAACAGAAGGATGTTTATACAAAAGATATAACTAAAGCTAAAGAAAAGCAAAGTAAACTCAGAGAAAGCAAAATGCAGAAATACAGTGATGAGGATTCTGATATTGACTTTGATATTGAAGCACTGGAGCAACAAACTAAAACGGCCAAGGAAACCACACTGAAAAAAGTGGGAAGAAAATCTGTAGTGGATGACAAGTTTTTCAAGCTGGCCGAGATGGAAGCTTTTTTAGAACAGGCAGAGAAGGAAGATGAGGAGGAAGATGATATTAATTATTTTGAAGACATTTTCTCAGATGATGAGGAAGAAGGGTCAGAAGATGCTAAAGTCAAAGTAAGAAAATCAGTAAAATAATTTTCTGATATCTCTTTTCCTTTAAATCAAGATCTGGTATCTGTTAGGGCGACTATAAACTGTTGAAGTGTGAGTAGAAACGACCTAGTTAAATTTGATGAGGTGACTAATGACTCCTTCCGAAGCTTTACTTTAACAATGTATTTGACATGAATATCTGGTAAGGAAATGTCCCAGTGTACAAGACTACAGCGTTCTGCTGTTCCAGGCGCTGCTTGGATGGGTCTTGGGTCTTTTGCTTAAGTAAAGGAAGAGTCAGTATGTGGCAAGAAATAAACCACCTTGCAGAACTGGGGACCCAACAGTGAAAGGTTTGTCACTCAGCACTGGCAGCTGGCAGGTAGAGATCACTGAGGTGACTGACGCAGAGCAAAGGGCTTTTTCCAGGGGCATGGCTTGGTGACTCTGACATGGCTTAAGCTGATGAGGAATTGTTTGAAAAATAAATCTTTTGTTATTTAATATTACCAGAGATTCTCTCCAGAAGTAAGAAACATACCCAGGGAATTTGTGTGCATTCCAGCACATATTTGGCAAAATGTACCATTCCTCGACTTCTGTATATTCAAGTGGTAGAGCATTTTAAATACTTGTAAAAGAAATAAGTTTACTAAGATGCCCCCCTACAAGTCAGTGCCATTCAGTTAATTCATTAAACTGAATTACTGTTCCACCAGTTGTGCCACTCCCCAGGCACTAAAGGTTTCAGAAGAGAGGATACCCTTTGATATCTGTCAGCCTTAACAGCTGTGGTTTGTTGTTTGTTTTTTTCCCTTTCTCTCTAACCTTTGTAGCCAATTAAAAGTTCTAGAGATGTGACATACGAAGATTTCTTTGATCCAGTTGATGATGATGATGGTGACTTAGTAGCTAATGATGTTGAAGATGGCCATGAAGAGGAAGCAGACAGTGCTATTGAAGAGCAAAATGAAGAAAGCATGTCTGAGTAAGTATTTGCATTATTTGCACTTGAAAATGTCCATGTAATTTTACACTGCAGTGAAGCAGAAAACAGTGGGAATGCCAGGCTGATTTTCATGGTCTGCCATTCTCAGTTCACTGTTGTATGGGCATGGTTTGCACTGTCACTTTTATTTCAAATTAGTTTATTTACTTTTTTTTTGGAGTATTGTCTCTTGATATTTATTTGCATAAAGCACTTAAAAGCTGTAACTTCATTTTTGTGAAGTTATTTTCATTATCTAGATGTTTCCCTAGTGTCCCCTACCTTTAGGAGGGATCTTTGAAACCTGTTGTATTTCTGAACTGTGAGCTGTTAACAGGTGAACATCTAAGGGCTGAAATATCTTCATGTAAAAAATTATGGATGCTTTTCAACCTTTATTTGATTTTAAATTTTATTGTTACAGGTTTGAGGATATGGATGAAATGGTGGCGAACATGAGAAATAAAGAAGCATCTAAAAAAGTTACTTTTAGTTTGCCAGATGACAGTGACACAGAAGACGTGACCGAAATGCAGTTAGAGAAGGGCACTGAGCCCGGGGAAACAAAGTCCTCTTTTGAGAAGAGGCAGGAGAAGGTAACAGGATGTCGGTTTTCATTGGGGTGTTTTATTTTTATTTTAGTTTTGCTAATACTTCAAAACAGTGCCAAATATTGTTTTTACTGGTTGTGTGATTTGTTCAGTCTGGCAAGTATGGAGATAAGCCATTTTTTTTTTCTTACATTGTAAATGGGTATCTACATCAGATGTATGTGCAATCATATGTTCTCTCTTTTTTATATGAGGAAGGGTTAGAAGTACCTAAAATAAGTATTAATTTCTTGCCTTGAATTTATTAGTGAGCTCTGTTTTAAACTTCTTGGGAAATTGTATTTTTCAGATGAGCAAGAAAATAAAAACTTTAGAAGAAGAGTTGTTAGAGGAGAAACCTTGGCAGCTTAAAGGAGAAGTGAGTGGACAAAAGCGACCTGAGAACAGCCTGCTGGAGGAAACGGTGCTGTTTGAGCACGCAGTGCGCATGGGTGAGTGAGGGGAGGCTGCCCTGGCAGCGTGCTGGGTACCGCCATGGGTGTTCTTCCTTACATAATCTGATTTCTGCCTACATTTACGTACTTCTTCAATTATTACATTTTTGTAAAGGTTTTACTTTCTTTTTCTGTTGTTTTTTCTTTATAGAACACAAGTTATTTCTTGCTGAAGAAACACTAATCTTAAAATTCTTTTTCTCCTTTCAGCACCTGTGATCACAGAAGAAACTACTTTTCAGCTTGAAGATATCATTAAACAGAGAATATTGGATGAGGTCAATATTCCCTGACTTGTTCCTTCCTATTTTGTTCGTAGATTTAATTCACAGGGCTCATTCCAAGGGTGAAGCACTTCCAATGCCAGGTGTAGAATTATCTGAAATTCTGCAACTGGCTGTTTTATTCTTCTGGCTTGATGAATGTGTCTTTAGATTTCTAGGAAGCCCATTTTTACATCCCAGTAATATGCCAGATTTTGGTGTGCTTCAAAAAATGAGTGTTTGCAGATAAAACTGTAAGGAGTTTATTAGGAATATAATCCTAGTCTGTGAGTTTTGGCTGTTACCATCTGTAGTGCTCTGAGCATTCTGAATACTGACCAAAACTCAGTTGCTTACTTCATTTTTCTTAAAAGTCACTGATAAAAAATTTGTATCTCACAGCTTGTTGAGCCTTATTGTTAGTTGAATTGGTACATATGGGGGAGAGTTTTTAAGTACTTAAGAAAATTACACATTTGTTACAGGTTGTGCCCCAATTCACTAAAAACAAGGGCACAAGCTAGAGTTATAACTTTTATTACTTCTTTTGTTTTTCAAATGGAAGTGTGAAACTTCCTGAGTTCCTGGGAAGCCACATGCATAAAGTAGTTGATGTGCCAGATAAGTCATTGAAAAATGTTCCAAATTAGCTGTACTGTCTGATATTTGCCTGTGGCTGCATTTGCTCATTGCCTGGTCGCTTTCTCAGGTGTGGGATGATGTGGTACCAAAAGAAAAGCCGAAAGAGGAGGCTTTTGAATACAAGAAACGTATCACTTTGGATCATGAAAAGAGTAAGCTGAGTCTTGCTGAAATCTATGAGCAAGAATACATGAAACTTCACCAGGTAACAGAAGCAGTGCCTTTCCTTCAGGTTTGAAGTTCACACTGCATAATCTTGAATGTTCATTTATACACTGCCAACTCTGCTTTCAGTTTTCATCTTCCTCTCAGTATTCACCAGTGAAATGGTTCCTAGTTGTATGCTGTGCTCTTATCAGTCTTGCTAAAGTAAAATACCTTTATGAATGGTGTGGAGTAACATTGCATTATTGATGCAGAAAAAAACTGAAGAGGAAGAAAATCCTGAACACAAAGAAATTCAGGAAATGATGGACTCGCTCTTCCTGAAGCTGGATGCACTCTGTAACTTCCACTTCACACCCAAACCAGTGAGTACATAAGTTTCATAAAGTTGGGTATCCCCCCATTTTTTAAACTGGGTACTTCAAAATATATTTCAGAAACAGAAAGTAAACATTGATGTTTACTGAGCTCATTCTTACTTCACATTAAGTGCACTGTGATTACCTCTGAACAAACCCAAACACGGGGTATCTTGAGTTAGTGTGAGCTGCTGTGCTCAGGCTTGAATGTGTCTCCTTATTTCCAGCCGGTACCAGAAGTTAAAATAGTGTCCAACCTTCCAGCCATAAGTATGGAAGAAGTGGCCCCTGTTGCTGTCAGTGATGCTGCTCTCTTAGCACCAGAGGAGATCAAGGTAAGTCTCAAACTGCAAAGGCTGGAGGGAGGATCTGTGTTGTTTACAGAAGGATGTTTACTGCCAGATCAGTGGGAATTCTGCCCCTTCCCACCCTGGTGGTTCCTCACCTTGTGGGCCTTCTTGCCTAGCATTTTAGTGTTGGTTGTTGCTGGGGGTTTTTTGGGGGGTGGGGTTTTTTTGCTAACTGAAAGGTGGGAAAGAGTTCATTGTACTTGGTGCTGTAATATCGTGCTATGTTTTTATCTTGACTATTATGTGATGCTGACTGTTTTCATAGCATACGGATGGGTATTTGGAAGGCAAAAGCTAAATGACAGTACAGAAGAGCAATTAGCATGTCCTCAATTAGTTGTACAAATCTCATTTCCCAGCTTTTCCCAGTTTTTGGCCTTTGCCTTAATCCAGCCTTGCCTTGAGCTGGCACTCGCTTGAACTAATGAGAGAGATTTGACAGATTTGAGTGCTGTGAAGTGAGTCTGGTCTTCTGCGTGCTTATGGATTAGGGATCTTGTTCTCTCTAGGAAAAGAACAAAGCTGGAGATGTAAAAACAGATGCAGAAAAGACTCCCACGGACAAAAAACGAGAACTAAGAAGGAAAAAGCTCCGCAAACGTATGAGGCGAAGGGAGAGGGAGAAACGCCAGAAGCTTCTTGAAAAGATGAAACCAGAGCAAGGCACAAAACTCAGCAAAAAAGCTGCTGCAGCCAAATTAAAACAGCTTGCAAAGGAAGGCAAAGCATCTCTGCTCAAGGTAAGACAGTCTAAGTTGGAGCTTCCCAGCTAAAGAATGTTAAGATCCAAGGATAGACAATTTCAGCTAGCTAGAAGAAAGGTAACTATATCCCAAAGAATTACAAAGTATAAGGTGTGTTCCCCTCTCATCCTTCTTGTCACAACAATCTTTCTTCATCCCCTCAAGAAATCTTGCACAAGGACAGAATCTGTGCTTTCCACCCAAACCTTGTTACCTTATGTGAGAGCAAATAAAAGGGGTAAGTGTTGCTGCTGCAGAGAAAGAGGGAGGAAGGCACAGAAGGGCAGATGCATATTCCTTTTATGTTTATTTTTTATTCCTCCTCCTTACTTTCCCTTGTGTTCTTCTGAACTACAGTTTTTCTAGTTGTAACTGTCTTATGCAAAGTAGGGTTGAATGCCTTTCAGTCCTGATTTTGTTAATTATCCTGACAGCATGATGCCAGTATTGAGGCCTGAAAAAATACAGCTCTTGTTGCACTTTGCAGCGACCCCCTTGTTAAAAATGCATATTTATGTAGATGGTACTGCTTTAATTATGACTACATCATACCTAAGTGGTTCTTTAGAAGTTTACTTGGAGTATGGAATATATTTGAATTTGTAAGCAGCTTAATATTTAGATATGGAAAACTATGAAAAAGCTCTGTGACACAATTACTTTATGTGAAAGTACGTTCACAAAGCAGAAAGGATTTTGTGTGAGGTACTACTTTTTGTGGTGTTCCTGCAAGTAAGACATGCTCTTTATTTCCTGCATTTAAACCATTCCACTTGATTAAGTGGGACTACTTGAATGCACAGCTGAGACTGAGATTTCTGTGTTCTGAGTAACTGAAGCTGTGGTGTAATAGAATATTCCTGGTTAACTTCGTCCTTTTTGTGGAGCCTTCCCTATAATCTAATGAGATTGATTTTGTTTTGCATGCTGTAAAACAGTAAACTTGTGCACCGCCTATGATGCCTTATAAATTAAATGTTAAAAATCTCTGAAATTTTGAAGTATTAGAAACTAACAGGAAAAACAACTTGGTTACTCCTAAATGTGCTTACCTTTTCAGAAGACAAGCAGAACACAAAACACAGATATCCTGTTGTAGTTCGTGATGTGCAAGGATTTATTCTTGATGCCTGCTCTTACCTGTCATGCTAATTGCTATTTAGAAAGGGATTGTAATCTTTAGACAGCAGGAGTGGAATGAAAATGTGGAGGAAAATAACCTTTGAAAACAAGTTACCTGATTTTTTTTTTAAGTCAAATACCATTATATGTGAGTAACTAGTAAGTAATACAATGGCACTGTTTGTACATTTCTTGGTTATAACAGATGTTTTGTCCATTGACAGGATGAAGGTAAAGACAAGGCCTTGAAATCATCCCAGGCCTTCTTTTCTCAACTACAAGATCAAGTAAAAATGCAAATAAAAGATGCAAGCAAATTAAAGAAGAAACAGAAGAAGGAGAAAACACTCTCTGTTCATAAATTGAAGTTGTAATTTACCTTTTTATATATGTCGCATCTTGTATATATTAAAATGTTTCTTCATGAATGCTGAATTTGACTAAGTTTTATTCTGTGCTAATCTTTAAAATATTCTGTGAACTTCTCAAGTGATGTAAAGATGCTTTCCTGTAGGTTTTACTTTAATTTTCTACTGTAGAACTCTGCTTCTTGCCTGGGGTGGATACATAACCATGTAAAATATTTGACATGTCCTGTGACTGTACAGTCTCTTTAATCTGTAGCCCCTAGACTTGTATCTGCCCTATCTACTGCAGGAGTAACTGCATTTATTGAAGAACTTAAAATGTATCCACGTAGTTAACTTAGAAATTATATTCTGGAATAGTACCAAACAGGACACAAAAGCTTTTTAAGCTTGTGGTATCTCAGAGTCAGGAAATGGCTTCTCTTAACTTACAAGTCACACAACGGATCAGGCTGAAGGGTCCAGGGCGGGTCCCCTGGTCCCAGCTCTCAGCTCAGGCAGGGCCTCCCCGAGCACAGGGCACCCGAGTGTGGTCAGATGGCTCTGGGATATCTCCGGCAGGAGACTCCACACCCTCTCTGGGCAGCCTGGTCAGTGCTGGGTCACTGCACGGCAGAGAAGTTCTTCCTCATGTCCAGCTGGAACTTCTGGGCCCGTTCCTGCCCGCTCCTCTTGTGCCATTGCTGGGCCCCCAGCAGAGCCTGGTCAGACAGGGATGGGGCCCCTCCGTGCCTTCATCTAACGCTTCCTTTTACATCCTCCCATACCAGCCCTGTTCTCAGAGTCCACATTAACTGTATTTCTCAAGATGGAAATATTTCACTATTTGCGCTTTTCTCGGCTGAACCGAGAAAAGCCCCCAGCCGGTGCCCCTGTGGACCTCAACTGTTCTCCCCCCGTTGTTGTCAAAGGACATGTTCAAAGCAAGCAGGGCCGTGACGGTGGCCTTGGAGGGCGGGGCTGCCGCCATCGGCGCTGCGCTGCTCGGGCCTGGCGGGAGCGGGGCGGCCCTGTCCCTCACGGCCCTGTTCCTCACGGCCCTGTCCCTCACAGCCCGGCCCTGTCCCTTCCGGCCCGGCCCTGCCCCTCACGGCGCGGCCCGGCCCTCACGGCCCTGCCCCTCACGATCCTGCCCCTCCCGGCCCTGCCCTGCCCCTCACGGCCCGGCCCCGTTCCTCACGGCCCCCTCCCTCACGATCCCGTCCCTCCCGGCCCTGCCCCTCCCGGCCCGGCCCTGCCCCTCCCGGCCCCGTCCCTCACGATCCTGTCCTCACGACTCCGCCGCTCACGGCCCCGCGAGGCTCCGCACGGCTCGGGAAGGACGCGCGGCTGCGGTGCCGGTGCGCGGGGAGGCCTGGGCCGGGCGGGCTCGGGGGGCGGTTGGGTGCTCCGGGCGCGGGAGGGGCGGGGGCGCCGGGCCTTCGAGGAGCAGGCACGCCCGGGCACGGCGCCGGCAAGGGGGGCGGGAGCCCGGGGCACGGCGCCGGGAAGGGGGGCGGGAGCCCGGGGCGCCGCCGTCCCGGTGGGAACACGCGGGGAGCGGCCGGAGCCCTCGCAGCGCCTTTGCCCGACAGCCCCGGAAAGCCCGGCCCGGCCCGGCCCGGGGCAGCCGCAGCAGCCCGGGGGGCGCGCTGGAAAGGCGGGTGCTTGGCTCCGAAAATTGTCTGGACAGCAAACGAGATAATGACGGAGTGTGCCCTGCGACGGGACGGGGAGCAACGGCCCTAAACTAAAGCAAAAGGAGTTCACCTCAACAGGAGGGAGAACTTCTTTGCACTGAGGGTGGCAGAGCCCTGAACAGCTGCCTGGGCAGGGTGTGGAGTCTCCTCTCTGGAGATGTTCAAACCCTCCTGGACGTGTCCCTGTGTCACCTGCTCCAGGTGCCCCCTGGACAGGCAGGGACTGGGGGATCTCCAGAGGGCCCTTCCAACCCTGACCTGGGATTCTGTGAAAATTAGAGGCCTTGACTATTTAAATGCCAGGTTCACTTGATTATGTAAATGAAAAGTTGGGATTGATTTCCATGTATTAAAGTGTTGAAGGCCAGCTGCAGTGTTCAGCATGGTGTGCCTGGTAGGGCAGGCTAAAGGACAGTAACACTGTAACAGTTAAGGACTGCTTGACTTCACTTGTAGGCTTTAATGTTTTCTTCTCTGCTGTTTATCTTGGTTGAACCTTGGCTTGTTACCTTACAAGATCATTCATTCAATATCTTTTTTTCTTTTTTTTTTTTTCCTGAAGACACATGAGAGGATTACAGATGGAAAATGCAAAGCCGAGGAAAGCCTTCTAAGTATTTACAGAATAAGGAAATAGGGCTCAAATGGAGTTGTCTGTGCTGTGTAAATGCTGTGAAGTTTTGTAATGGCAGAAATTAGGTCTTCAGGAATCAAAAGATCCCAAATAAGTTTGTCACTCAGTAAAAGTAAGAAGAAAAAAGGAACACCATCTGTACCTTCAGCATCCTCCTCTATTACTTCCTTTTTTAATAATGTTCCCCCTGCCAAAATTAGCTGTCCCGTGTGTGGGCAGTTGGTGCCAAGGTATGGAATAAATGAGCACATGGATGAAACATGTCAGAGAAACCACGGTGAGATTGGTGCCATTGGTGCTACACTGGACCCTCTGAAGAATAAGAGTCCCCCACCTGCAAACGTGACCAATAATTCCAGCTCATACTTTTCAAAAAACATCTTAAATCTAGAAACAAGTCCCTCCAAAAGCAATTCATTGAAAGCAGAAGGTAGTGCAGCACAACAGATTAGTCCTTATTTTAGCAATAACAGCTCAGTCCTTAGTGTTACCAATGAATCACAGGCTCAAACAGTTAAAACGGTCTCTTTGGGAAGCTTGTCATCAAAACTGTCCAGAAGACGTTGTGCCCAGGGAGGAAAACGGGTCGTGTATAAAGAGATTGACTCTTCACCTCCGGCTGTTCACAGACTGTGTAGAAATGCTGCATCAAAGGAGGGTGATGATGATGATGATGATGTTTATGCTGAGCACAGTTCTCAGAAAGAAAATCAGCTTGCGCAGAGAGAGCACCAGGAACAAAATTTCTCAAAGAGAAAACTTGAATTTCAAAAAGAAATAAACCAATGTAATCAAGAAGACCTTGTGGATGTAGTTCAGGTATCTTTACCAGCTGATAACAATGATAAAGGATTCCCAAGTGGCACAAGGAGCACCAAAACAGAAAGCAGGTCTGATGGTGTGACGCTTAGTCCTGATAAATCTGAAACACCTCTAGCCATTTATACCTCACCACAGCGGGCCAGCAACCTGGAAGTCAAGACTCAGCCTCACACCCAAGTTATTCCTTCTTCCAAGACAGAAGTGAACTGTGATACACAAAATTGCTCTAGTGAGGGCGATGCACAGGTACTTCCTGTGGAAGTTCTTGAAGATCTTAAGGAAGAGATGGATTATACTATGTTAGAAACTGTGGGAAAAGTAGAATTTCAGAATTCCACTGGGGACATTTTAGACAAAATAGATGAGGTTCACTCTGTGCCCAGCTCTCCTCATCACCCATACTACCTCCAGAATTTTTTACTAGTGCTGAAAGCAGTCCTAGAGAATGAAGATGACGCCAGGCTATTTGATGAGCAAGATATGAACATTATAAGCAAATTCTACAAATTATCAGGTACCTTTTTTTAAAAATACATTTCCGCATTACTGTTGCATAGTTTTATGTGAGTTTTGTCTGTGGGCAATTTAACTTTTTCTCAGGAGACGTGTCCCTCAGTGGCTTCTTGTAAGTAAACTCTCCTAATGTTATTTAAATGCGAGGTATTGATAAAAAGTGAAGAATTGTAAGGAAGGTCTGTGGGCAAGTCTGTAGTGGCAGTGGGGGAAGCCAAGTCAGGGAGGTGCCTGGCTGGGCACTGATGTACCACACAGAGCTCAGGCCACCAGTCTGGGCTTAGGGACAGCTCCTGAGAGAACGGAGGGGGGGCCCTGACAAAGCCTCACCCAGCCCACCCAGCACATCCGAGCTGGCCTTGGACACAGCAGCCAAACCTCTGGGGGCTGGGGTGCGGCTGCAGAGCCTGTGGGTGACTGCAGGCCACGAGAATGTCACAAGAGTAACACCTTGGGGCTTGATAATGCCTTGTTCATGTTGTGATAGTTAAAGGGGGAATATGTAAAGGCAGGAACAGAAGCAGTAAAACTGTTATTACTGGCTCTCTGAGGCAAACGGTAGATGCACATCATCTGCATCCAAAGATCTAGGCGTAAACTCACAGGTCAGTGGATGCAGGCTTTGGTAATACTAAAAGAGGCGTTCAGGATACAGGTTCCTCATTTCCACGCTCGCTTCTCTGGGTGGGTGCAACACTGTTCAGTAACAGGAGCTTGTTCTCTTAAATGAAGGAAGTGCTTGTTTCCCTCTTAGTAGTGTGATTTCAGAATTCCCTCCTCACAGGAGTTTGGAATACAGAAAGAATTACTGCAGAGTGGTGCTGGTAAATCCATGCATGCATTGAATGCCAGGGGCACAGATAAAACAATCTTTCTTTGCAGGGTAGGAAAAACACAAGGATTGAGCTATGAAAAGTGCTTGGATAGCATTAACTCAATAGATAACAAATTCTGGAGAACTGACAGATGGATGTCTTTGCCTTGAAGAAATACCAGGCAGAATACTTTAAAAGTACAGGTAGATGTGTTTTCTGTCCCACGTTAAAAGTTTCTAACCAAGCAGGTGTTGTCTTTCAGTTATCATAACACGAAAAACCCAACACGTGCCTAGTACTATGGAGTTGCTTCAGTATAGGTATTTTCCAGTATTTCATTATTTTCTGCTCAAATGGCTACCATTCTTCAGTGAGAGATCTCTAACTCACTGAAGTTATGAAGATTATTATGAAAGTTTGTGAACTTACTATGAAATGTATAGCACTGCCAGTGTTTTAAGTGCCAGAAACAGTTAGATGAAAGTAGGGAAAAGCAGAGGTGTATCCGTAACAAGTAATCTGCAGTGCAATGTCAGGCCTTGTGCTCAAGACTGTCTGAAATTAGGTGTAACATTAAAAACATGATTTTTGTATTTTCCATGTTTAATTTTGCCACAAGGTGCAGCTGCAAGAATTTAAATGCAAGTTCATAGTTCTAGTGAGACTAACCTAATACACTCAGTGAAATCCTCCTTTCAGTTTTCATACAGTAGAAATATTGTATCTGAAAAGCATTGATTTATAGTTACCAGTGGAACTGAGGTACAGAAAACAATTTTTTTCTTTTGTATTTTGATGAATCACAGAGGGCAAACTTAGTGCTAAGATCTTCTGCATCTTTTAGCTGGTAAACTTAGAGCAAATTTTTTATTTCATTAATATACCTAAAACTTTCTTAAGAACCACAAAAGAAAAAAAATGTCCCAAACCTCCAAAGGTAATGAAAGCACTTCAGAACAGGGTGCTTAAGAAGCAATTAATAACTTGCACAGTGTCTTTATATTCCAGTCTTTGTCATTCAAATGCTTCAGAGGGAAGCAGTCCTCACATGCCCTTGCTGAATTGCAGCCCTGGTTTGGTCAGGTCCAAGGGCTGGGGAAAGGATGCTCCTGTGTTAACCTTCTTCCTTTCTCTGGAGCTATGAAAACTGGGAACCGACTTCAAAGGAGTTCTAATCCCAGAGAGAAAATGCCAGCCTCCTATGTCTAAATATAGTTCTCCCAGTGCATTGATCGTGGAAACATTCCATAAAAAAAGGCTGAAAAAGTCTTTCAAGGACAGGAGAATTGTTAAATAAACATGTCAAGGTTATCTGCCGTTTCTTGAGTGTCTCTGGGTCTGGTAGTATTTCAGTGTCTGTTTTTATTAAATATCCGTTTCAGTTAAGCAGCAGACAGGGATAAAAAATTCAGAAGTTAATGAGGGTTGAATTAAGTATTCAAAAGGTTGTTGAATGTAGTAACAATAGCTGAACTATTTTCAGCTAAAATTTCATAAGCTATTTTGTTGAATTTCACCACTTAGTATTTTAAAAGTCTTTTTAAAGGGTACTTTAAGAGAACACTTCCCTGATAAAAATAAAATGAATAGCAGGGGTTTTTTCTATTGTTTTCAGTAGATGCATTAGTAAAATTAGGCTTATCTTTGAAAAAATGATTCTGAAGACTGCTAGATGGAGAGGTATTCTGTGATTATGAAATTATTCTGTCAGACTGCAGCCTCTTTTGTTCCCTAGGATGAAATATTTGGTTATTGAATGACTGTTTAAGAAAGCAGAAAGACCTATTTAATATCACAATATACAGAGTTGAAAAATGAAGTTTTTTCCTATAAAATAAATTATTTCTGAAAGGATAAGCATGTCAAAATGTATTTTAGCAATGTACAATACCTACAAAATACATCATAATACTTTTGTACCTACCAAATTTAAATATTCTAATGAGTTCATTAATTACTTGAAAAGGTAAGTTCTGGTATTTTACCCAGTCTGCTTGTAGAACCTGGGGAGATGTAGCGTGTTTTAGAGGATACCGGCACCAAAGTAATTGTTCTGGTTAGGGCAGTGATTTTGCATAGTGCTGTGTTCAGGGTTTACTCCTCATTTTATCCTTCCCTGCTTTAACTCCAATTTGCAGCTGGTGGGCAGAAGTTGTATGTGAGGCTTTTTCAACGCAAGCTGCACTGGTTAAAGGTGAACAAAATAGAGTATGGGGAGATCAGTGTGGATTTGTCACCAGTGATTGAAGAACTGGCTGAAGCCAGATTTCTGCAAACAGGTAAGGCCTGCACTGATAAATCTTAAAAACTCTGCCTATGGAATCTGCAGCTGGGTCACGTTAGAGTTCAGTGCACTACAGGCTTGTCTGTGCCTTGGGAAGAGTACTAGAGGAACAGAATAAAGATTTCAGGTAGATGAGTTGTGTTGTGACTAATAAAAACAGTACAAATTAGGTAATGGGGAAGGCAGCCTTTCTGAACAGTGTTTTTTTGGAACTCAGCAGAATTTTTTTTTTTGCTTCTGTTTTGAAGTTGTAAAGGGGTGTTTTTCTCTGATTCTTCCATACCTTCCACCTGGACCTGTGAAGAGCTCAGGAAGAAGGTCCAGAGGAATTCCAGGGTGAACCAGAGAACACTGACAGTACATTTTTGGGGCATTTAAATCATTAGATTAGTACCAAATTATATGAATGTACTATGACCTGTTGCTTGAGTGTACATGTGTAACACACATGAATGGATCGGATCATTTTGCTTGCAGAATCTGAACTGGAAGACCTGTGTGAAGGTTTGGATTTGCTGTCAGCCCCTGAACTAAAAGCACTGGCAAAGATCTTTCACTTGCCAAACCCAAATGGTCAGAAACAGCAACTTGTGGATGATTTTCTGAGGTTGGCAAAACAGCGTTCGGTCTTCAACAGGAGTCAGACTTGTGTTGGGACAGTGATCCTAAAAAGGTAAATGTTTATAGTTAAATTTTACACTGCAACAGAGTGGAATCTAGATGCCTTTTCAAGAGAGGAATGCATTTAGCAAATTTATTAGTAAAAATGGAAGCATTACATTTTGATTCACAGCAAGTCAAACAGAAGGGTAAATACCAGACTTCTTTTAAAACTATGTCATGCTTTCAGCTGTGGGCATGATTATCTGTCTGCAAAGTTACTTGGTTAGAGAGAGAAACATTTCTGAATTCTGTAAAGCAGAGTCAGTGCAGAAAAACATCCAGGAAAGTGTGGGAAAGGCCACTCTGTTAAACAACCATCTGATGTTCGTTTGCTCCGTGAGCTCTTTTGGTGGAATTAGAGGAGACAAATAGGCTCTTTCTGGGGATTGACTGAGTACTTTAGCACAGAGCCTCCTTCTGGCAATATTCTAAAGGGAAAAGTGTGTTTACCTGACAGAGTGTTCTTTCTGTCCTGTGGGTGTTTTCACTGTGGCTGTCACAGCTGGGTATATCAGATGCCCTTGACTTCCAGGTCTCCTGGGGTCCAGATTCAGGTTTAAGATGCTGTGCTGCCCTAATAGGAGTGATTAGGGTCTAAACTCGGTAACTGTGGAATCCTTTCTTAAATTTTGGGTTGAATAGAAGGCTGGCAGAAATCAGTATGTGCTGCATTTGCTGTACTAACATAGTTTGTATTTCCCGTGGCACTCTTTTTCAAATGAGAGAGATGTAAAGCTTTGTTAAGTTTTGCATAGCTATGTTTATTGGACAAATATTCCTCTCCCCCCCCAAATCTATCATGTGATTTTCCATAAAATTCCTTGTTTTAAAAGGGGCCTAGTATTGGAAGAAGAACTTGAAAATCATTCCTCCATGAAGAATTATTATGCCATGAATCATTCAGGTCTTCTTTCCTTATTTTGTGGTTGTTTTCTCATTCTAATCCAGGCATAGAAAACTTCAGTATGAAAATCCTTAGATTTCATGTTTCTTCTTTGATACTAGACATTTGAACTGTGTGACAATGCATGATGCACAATTTATATAAATATCTCTAACAGAAACAAAATTGTTTTCAGAATAGTGTCTTAGAGAAAGGCTAGAAGAATGGAAAGGAACCTGGGAAAATCAGGTACCTTCCAAAAAAGTGCTCAGTGCTGTCTTACTCCCTACTTCAAGAACAGAGCCTGATAGTTACTTGCTCAGCCACCCCAGCTTTGGGAATATATTGCCCTTTGCTGTAGATGACAGCTGAAATACTGATTATCCCAGGAGGTCACAGAAAATCAGTTTTAAATCTGTACTGTCCAGCAGACAAGCAACAAAAGTTTTCTCTTGTATGAAAAGGCTGGTTGAAAACAGGCTCCTGAAGGTTCCCTAAAACAATGGATCTCAAGTTAGGACCTGTAAATATTCTCTAACAGCAAACCATGCCTTGTTGATTTATCGTGCTGACTGGCACAGCAACAAGAGTGACTGCACCCAAAGGGCACTTAGCTCTGATTCTGGAAGTTTGGCCCTTAAACTTTTTGTTAGTGAATGCACTTGGCTGGATTTTCACTAGAGGTTCCATGTACTGTGTAGTATCTCTGCTTCTTTCAAGGAAAATCAATTTTATGCACTATAGACTTAAACAATTTTTTTTCTTATGCTTCACTCAGTATAATTTAGCTTTTACAGGTGATAGTAGAAATCATGTGCTGTAATGGTGTTGTTTGTCCTTGCAGGGTGAAGGAGCTGGCTGGAAGGTGCGTGCGGGTGCACCGAGGCCCTCGGGCCGTGTTCTGCCGAGCGCTGCTGCTGTTCTCGCTGCCCGAGGCGGGGGAGGAGGAGGAGGGCGGCTCTGCGGGGCAGGGCCTGCTGTCCGCGGTGCTCATGGCCAGCATGGGCCGCACGGTGTTCCCCCGCTACACCGTGAACAGGAGCACCCGGCTCTTCCAGGACAGAGACGATCTCATCAGGTGGGGACAGCTTGGGCTGCTCACAGAGCCTTTTCTCTCCAGAAAAGCTTTGCTGCACCGCTCGTGTAGGCAAGCAGGAATTCAGCGTGGGGAACTGCAGATGTAAATATATAGAAGTGTGCTTTTGTAATGATTTTAAATGCGTTTTTGTATCCAGGTAGGACTTGTAATTCACAGTTCCTTGCCTTTGGATCCAAAATAGCGTCATTATTTGCTTCAGGATCATCTGATGATGAAAGCTGTTTCTTCATGTGCTGTGCTGATTATTAGAAGTGGACTCTGAGCTAAACAAAAAATATGTTCTCTAGTTCGTAAGTTTAAACATAATGTGCCCTGCTAGTTCAAACTCTGCTAATCCTACAAGACTAAGGATGAAGATGGCTGCATGATTCGATGTCTTTGGAGACTGGAAGGGAAGGAATTGATTTCTTTTAACTGTAGATGCTTTTTAAGCCTAAGTTGTTGTGTTTTTTCCCTCAGATATGCAACTGCTGCTCATCTGTTAAGTGACATAGCCTCTGCAATGGTAAATGGGCACTGGAAAGAAGCTCATGATCTATATTTGTGTGCTAAACAAACCTGGAGAGAACTGAAAAATCACCCCTCTTTAAGGTAGTGAACTGGAAACTAGCCTAGTGCTCAGAGCAAACTAATAAGTGTATTATCTTACTTTTGGTACTTTAACTTCTGAGAGAGGCTTATAGACTAAGCCTGATAAATTTAGAGGCTTTAATATTCTTGAAAGCTTTGATCTTCCTGATTGTTTGTTTAGCTTTTAAGTGATAATATGAAAATTATAAAACTTTGGGAATTAATTGCTAGGCATTGATAAAGCATTAAAATATTTCTGGTTTATGTACAGTGCAGGAGATCAAGAGCCTTATTTTTGCCTTGTCATAGTTTGTTTTTATGGCTTTCAGACAAATGGCAATAAGCAGAATTTAAAATTCACTGTGAACAAAAGGATGTTGCAAACATTATGGGAACCCATACCGGGTTATTCACGTCTTTAGACTTCCAAGTAGAGTCATTCAGGAAGTGTTACTGAATATCTGAAAACTGAAATGAAATATCTTGGGTTTGAAGCATCTTCATCTTTAACTTAAATAATTAAAAGTTTTTCTTTTAATTATTTTGTTTTCTGGCTTAATGATACACCAGAAATTAAAGCCTTATGTTTGGCATTATGTTCAACTCCATGGCAACTGATTCAAAATAGCATAACCCTTCATAGAAGGTCATTTGGAAGTCTGTTCCATTTCACACTGAAGACAGTGGAAAAATCTATTTTGATTTTAATAAGACATTCAAAAGACTTTGTCTTGAAATACAGAATTGCCTACTGAAAAGATGTCAGTGTTTTTTTTATGGCAGGAAATTCCCATTCTAGACTTTTTGTTTTGTTCAGCTGTGTTTCCAAAGATAAACTTTTATGAGAATGATTGGCAGTAACAACACATGATGTAATAAGTTACTGTTTTGCATCCTTATGCAAAACTGATTAACTAAAAATTCCGCTGCTGTGGAATCTAAAATACACCGAGCAAGAGCAGCTTGTTCCCTGAGCTGAACTATTGCTTTACCCTTGGGTTCTTGACTTGGCAGCTGGGATGCTTTAGGTAGAACTTAAAGAATTCCAATTGCCATGTTAAATGATCTGAGCTGCTCTTGCTTTTCAGCTATCACAGAGTTCTGCCTGAGTACCTGCGACGTTTCACAGTGGGCTGGGTGTACACAAGAATCCTTTCTCACGGTGTGGAAATTCTGCAGAGACTTCACATGTATAAGGTAAAGTGGTGAATAGGAATCTGTGTTTAATGGAGCGTTGTACATCAGTTTACTTTTCTGATGTGGCTGGAAAACAGTGACAATGCTTGCCAGGGATTGCTATAGTTCTAGTAACAAGTCACTTTTAAAGGAAAAGAGCCTTTTTTGGTGCTGCTTTAGAAAGTTTTAAATTGTTTTGATTTCTGCTTATGCTTTGAAGATTTACCATCTGTAATACACCATAAGACTGTTGCTGAGATATGCTTGTTTAATTATTTAAAGATACCTGTGTTTCACTAGGTTTGGTTATTGTTTTTAAATAAGAAAAATCTCAGAAGAGAAGTCTTCTGAAATCCCTGCCTCTTCACCTTAGGAGCTTACATTCCCAAAGGTCTCTGACTTATATGTTAAAGCAAATCAGATTATTCTGAAAAAGACTTTACTTCTGCAAAAAGGCAACTAGCAATACTCAGATACTTGTCATATACAATAAGGAATACAGAAAAGATAAAAATATTAAAGTTTTTGGCAGTTAACCTTTAAGTTTACATAAAAATATCTCTATTCTAGAGTTTTTAAGATACATCTATGCACCTGAATTGAGTATATTGGGTAGTGGAGTAAAAAGCAGGTTTGAATTGTGCAAAGTTTTATAGTCTCCATTGATTAGAAGGGGAAGGGACAAGCTAACTTGCACCTGGCTGTTAACTCAGTGACCACCCCGTGTTGTGCAGGAGGCGGTGCAGGAGCTGCAGACCCTCCTGTCGCAGGATGTGTATTGTGCTGACAGCAGAGGGAGATGGTGGGATCGGCTGGCTCTCAATCTACATCAGCACCTGAAAAACATGAGGAAGGTATCTGCTGTAGAGCTGGAAACACTGCACTCATTGCCTGAAAACATGTTTTAAAAATACATTCTTATGAAAAGAGCAGTGGAGGAGGATCTCCTAACAATGTAGATATTGGTAGGAATGCCAAGGTTAAGGCAATCATTTCCTCCTAAGAAAATGAATATTGAGTGTGCCTTGTCCTTGCTTGGCCTTGGATGCTGGTTTTTACATTTACGTTTTTCTGCTCCTTAAATGAATTGTTGTTGAGCAGACAGGTGTCCGTGGGTCTTTCTAAGTTGCTGCTGGTTCCCTTGCTCTTTGCAGGCCGTGGGCTGCATTAGGAGGGGGCTGGCAGACCCCTGTGTCCGCACTGGGCACCGCCTGTCCCTCTACCTGCGGGCGCTGCGCATCAGAGACTCGCCCAGCTGCAGGCAGGTGCGGGGGCTGCTGCAGGACCTGCCAGCCATCCCTGTGGAGGATGTCACACATGTGAGTAAGGGTGCTGCTGGTGTCTGGGGAACAACAACTCACGAGGTCTTTTTTACTCTTGACAAGAGAAGATAACTCGGGGGATTCTTGTTGTGTGCTGTGCACCAGCCTCTGACCAACTTGTGCTGCAGGAAAATGAATACAAATGTCTTTCTAAAACAAAAGCCTCTTGTGATCAAATACTTCTACATTGGTCAGCTTCTTAAAGTTAGTCAGCTGTATACTGGTTAAATTTGAATTGCTTTCTTTGTGTTATGAGTGTGACCAGCTGTAAACTCCACTGATGTAACAGTACACACTCAGAGCCTTTCTGAGCAGGTCAGTGCATTGTATCTGGTGCCTGCAGGCCAAGCAGTTTGTGCAAGAAACAGTAACAGGAACCTCCTTAGCATGTTGTCAGCATCAGATTAATGGCTAAAAAATGCCAGTGTTCTTTTAGTAACCTTTGGAAGGTGTGCACTCTAAATATGTACTATGCAGATATTCAGTGGGGTGTACCTGCATCATACTGGAATGGATTTTTTTAACTCTTTCTTTTCCATACCATCATAAAGATAATCCTGTCTGTCAGAGCAGAGCCTCACTTGTTCTCTCTCCTCACCACATCTCTCCTTACAGCCCTTCTTTGTGTCAGTCCAGAATCAGTCTGCTCAGCTCTGTATTCTTTCCTCCTGGTCCTGCAGATAGAAAGGCTATGTTGCCACCTGCCTAGGATTTTTGCTAGACACTTTTTTTCTGAAAAATTTGCCAGTTTATAAAAACTAAACAGAATGATTTCACAAGTTATGGCAGGGTAGATTCTATTCAGTTGATTTTTGGAAACAAGTCTAGTTCTGATTTTAAGAAAACTGAAAAGGAGAAATGTGTGTTTTAGGCAAGATCCAAATACTTAGGCTAAAGCTATTTAAATGTGATGCTGGAAAGTAACCAGATGTTTTAATATGTTCAGGTTACAATCAATGGAAAGATGTGTCCTCAGATGGGAGTGGGAAAATCTGTCTTTCTCGTGGAGGATGTTGGTGATGAAGAAGGAGGCGAAGGCTGCAGTGTATCCACAGTCATGTGCTCAGTTGAGGAGCTGGCATTAACTCATTACAGGAGGAATGGTTTTGATCAGGGTAACAGTAACATTTGTTTGGGCATTTTACAGTAGAATAACTGTGGGAGTAAAGAACCTATTTCCTAATGAGTTTAGTTAATAGACCAGTTTTAGCTGATTTCATTAGACCAGTTTTTAGTCTGATTCTGTTTCCTTCCCAAATGCCTCTAATACATCATTTCCTTACCAAAATGCTCTAACACGTATTTTCAAACTGACCTGATTCCTGGCCTTAAATTATTTGCTGCCTTCATGTACCAAAGGTGTTTCTGAAATGTGCATTTCTTTTTTATCTCCATAGAAAATCACTTACTTTGCCCTCCTTACCAGTGAACAGCTGTTTTATTTACTAAGGGTAAAATGTTGTTTAAGGGGGTGTCACTAAGGAAAACTGATTTTTGGTACTAGATGAACATGAAAACAGTCTATACCACTAGCAAGACACTTGGCAATTTTTTTGAAGGCTCTATTAGTAGTTGTTCCTATATTTTTACAACTTAGGAGCTGTGAAAAGCCATGGACAAGTAAGAATATATAGATCTGTTTTACAGGAAAAAAAGCAATATGCAAACAGGTAGGCAGGTTAGTTTTTAAGATAAAATTTGTATCTTTATAGAAAATACATATTTTAATATAGTTTTATATTATTGATATGTTCCAAAATACTATTGCAGGAAAAGTGGCCATGTCAGAACAGGGTAAATGAGAAGGTGACCATATTTAGAATTTAGAAGAGCTGTGCTGAAATGCCCTCTCAGTTCCTCACTCCCACCCTCCCACCATCGATCTCTGTGGCTCAGCACAGTTTTGAGCACACAATGGCCATGTGGGATTTAGTGCTGGGCCTGATGAACCAGAATGCCCAGTCCAGCATTCACCTTCACAGTGAAAAATGGTTTTCTTATGTTTATATAAATATATATATGTATATCTGTGTGTTTTATATATATATATTCATAAATATATGTGTGTCCCCATGTTTAATAAGTGACAGGGATGAAAAAAAGAAGGATGATGGAAAAACAGTCAGCTCTACCAGACTAATGCTCAACCAGTATTACTCAAAAATGTTATATATGGAGGAAAAAAAGTTGTATAAAAATGGGGTATATTGCATATATACACACATGTATGCACACATATATGTGTACACACACATACACACATGTATCCAGGTACAGGTATGGATATGTATGTGTATTTATGTAAATGTTGTTTTATATCTCCAGACGTTTGGTTTCTCATGTGCTGCATTGTGTGTTCACTGGCTGGGCATTTCTGTGCTGGTGAGTGCATTTTCCAGCACGCGTGGATATACCCATGGATGAGCCCATCTGCATCCCTGGATATGCACAGCTCCATGTGTGTGTATGTGTAATATATATATATAAAATAGATAACATATAGCATTATATAATATATAGTATATTATAATTATATACTATATGATACATAATAATATATAATAATATATATATTAAATATATATTATATATAATGTATGATACATAGCATTTCTATCTATATGAACCTTTTGGTGTCAAGATATTGCTTTTTAATGTTACAAAAGTTGTGTATTTGAAAATTGTCACAGTAGGCCTTGTTGTGGAAGGGCAGAGATGCAGCCCTGGGCTGTGACTGAAGGCCCCTGGCCGGGCAGCAGCAGGTGTTTGCAGAGGGGCATTTCTGGTGTTCTGCTGCAATGGGAACATGCCCTGCCTTCAGCTGGGCAGGAACCTGCCCGTGGCTGTTCCTGCTTTGGGTCGTGGGGGGTTCAGACCTCCTCAGATTGCTGTGGAAATGGACCTTTCATCAAGGGATGAACATTGATTTTTATTGAATTTTGCCCTTTAGGTATTCACGGGGAAGGCTCAACGTTTCTGACACTGTATGGGATTCTGATGTGGGATATCATTTTCATGGATGACGTACCCGATGTTTTCAGAAATTCCTATCAGGTAACTTTGAAAGGCTCTCTTTAATTGCTGTATTTACCCATTGCTGTAGACTCAGCAACCACGTTAACATCTTGTGTGGGATTGGATTAGCATTTTATTCTGTGGGAATTTCCAGGCAGATCTTGGTGTTTCCTTCATTTTATTATGTGTTATATTTGGTTTATGACTAAGTAATCCTCAGTAACTTAATTGCTGTGTCAGTCTGGGCTCACAGTCAGATAGGGTGGGATTCCTGTGGTTAAATGCATGTGTCCTACAGCTGAGCTCACTGGGCTTAATTTCCATTATAGTCAGTAGAACACTGCTGTGCCACAGCCTTGTTCATCCCCTTTGAAGATGACACATTTTTTCATTAAAAAAATTAAAGAAAAAAGAAAAAAAGAAAATTCTGCTTCTCTTTAGTAGCCTTTTAAAGGTTGTCACATTTTTAAACTCAGGTTTGTTAACACCCCCACCCACCCCACCATGTTTATGCTTTTGGGACCATCCCTCCTTTTTGACAAAGCAACAACCAAGAAAACAACACTAAAAGTTCCCCCCAGCAACAGCTGCTGCCACACCCTAAGATTAATGATTCCAGGTGAACTTGTGGCTTTTAGCTGAATGCTTTACATGCTACAAATTACAGCCAGAAAGGTTTAATAATTGTGATTAGAAAACTCGATCACTTGGCGACATTTGCTAAGAAAACCCTAAAAATCCATCTCAAATATTACAGAATTAAAAAAGACCAGACAATTGTCTTCTTTCTTCCATCCTAACTCATTGCTTCTAGTTGAATTCCTGGACAAGAGGGAGACCAGACAATGCCATTCTCTTCCTTAACTGGATTTATTTGTACTGCAAGAAATTATTATTTTAAATCAGTTTGAGATACCTTAGGTAGAAAATTCTTATTTTAGAGGTGAAAGATATGGGTTATTCTTGCCTGCCCCCCTCCTACTTTCTTATTTCTCTTCAGCAGTCAGAGGTAGGAGTAGAAATCCTTGTGGCTGAGCTGAAAACCACCAGGCTCACAGACAGGCAGGAAGGGCACTGCTGGAGCCCCAAAGGCCTTACAAAAACTGTGCCATGGAATTCTGAAATGGCTCCTTCTGTGGAGTATCTGCTGGTCTTGTCAGATGCTGAAGCTGTGTTAATGTCGTGTTAAAAGCAGGTGTTTTTGTCAGTGCAAACTACCATTTACCGTAGAGCTTGCCTGTCTAAATACATTTCCTTTCATACAATCTTATCTGCATATTATACTTACTTAAAAAAAAGACAAAAACCCAACCCCCCAAAACTTGGGTGTTCATGTGTTTGTTTGTTACAAACCCAGTACTTACAGGTCACTTGCAAATTTATTTTTTAACTAGTTTTTCCTTATTGATTCATAGCAAAGCTATCATGAGCATCAGGCATAAACAAGGATGAGCTGATAGCTCACACCTGATCCAGTCATTCCTAGGCTGTATTTTTGTGGGATTATCTGTGGCAGCAGGTTGTGTAAGGCTGAAATGTGCCATTTGCTGTAAGCACTCTGCATTTGCTGTTGAAAAGCTGGCCCTGCACTCAGGTACTGCCTGTGCCAGCAGTGTTCAAACCTGAACTGCTGCAAGGGCTTTACACACTGGGGTGTTCAGAGCTGGGTGTTAAAATGTAATTTATAAATGTTTATGTGGTGGACACGTTCAAGTTAGATCAATGTTGGAGTGAATTTGTAGTTAAGAAAAGTATGAAGTAGGGCATTGTCATTCTGGGAATGCTGCTGTGCTGGCAGCTCCTCAGAGCTGCATTTACGTTTTCCCACAGACATCCCCCCTGGATTTGTACACTGACAGCTTCTATGAGAGCAGGAGGGATGCCATTGAGGCCAGGCTGCAGCAGCTTCACTCAGCCTCCTCAGAGACACTGGCAAAGTTGTTTGCTGATGTCTGGACCGCTCAGGAGGGAAAAGCAGCAGCACTAGTGAGCTGGGGACGTTTTATTTCCCTCCAGCAAGCCCAGGTAAGTGACTGTTACCCAGCATGGGGCCTCTGATTGGGGATGGCATTCGATCACACACGGCCCTGGTGTGTCACAGGTTGCACTGAGGCACTGCGAGAGGGAGAGTGGTGGGAGGAGGAGCTGGGGAGACTCGTGCTGAGTCCCTGCACAAGTACTGTTACAATTGTCTGATATGGTCACTGTTCCTGGGAACACAGCAGGAAATTGCTGTAGAAAACATCTACTTATGTTTCCTGTTACACCAGACTAAACAAAAAGCTGAGCTGGGCCGTACAATAGTCTTGTGAGGGTTGGGAAGTGGCTCTAAAGGTGATTAAAGACAAATCCAACCAACCCCAAAGCCTGTCTTGCAGAGCCTGGTCTCCTGCCTTGGGGGAATGTTCCTGAGCGGGGTTTTCAGGCGACTCTCCACAGACCTGCGCCACTGCCGGGGGGGCCTGCCCGACCTGGTGGTGTGGAGCACACACACCCAGCACTTCAAGGTACGTTGGGAGGGCATGAAATACTCAGTTGCCAGCTGTCAGCCCATCCAAACTGGGCCTTCCTGCTGGCATGCAGTTAAAGCTGCCAGCAGCCACGGCCAGGTGATGATCTGCTGTTTCAGCACACTGTGCTGCAGCTTCAACGGGCACAATCAGAATCAGCAGGAATAAACACTGGCTGTGTTGGTGTGGAATAGGTCTTTCATTAAAATTAATGTGAGCAAGGGGTTTGACTGGCACCACTTAAAACTTGACTGTTAGAGTCTTCAACAACTGTGTCTGGGTCTGCCACAAAAACCAAGTAAACAGTCATGGTTGGTGTTTTGCATGGTAGAGGAATAGATACTAGAAGAATACTGGACACCTCACCTGCTGAAGCAACTTATGTTTTTGTAAAAGAGAGCTGAACAGCAGGAATTATTTCTCTGGAACACCTGAGTAAGTTGTGTCAGGATCAGCTGGAACAGGTGAGGTTGCACTTGATTTTTGAGTAGGAGAGCTCTTCATTCATCAGGGTCTCAGTGTTTTGGTGGATATTTACTGTGTAGCAGCCATCAAAGAATACTTATTCTGTGGGGCTGATGCTGCAGTTCCTGCACAGGCAGTGTGGTAACCATGCCGTTTGCTCGCAGCTGGTGGAGGTGAAGGGCCCGAACGACCGCCTGTCGCACAAGCAGATGCTGTGGCTGAGCGAGCTGCAGCGCCTGGGAGCTGCAGTGGAGGTGTGCCACGTGCAGGCCGTGGGGGGCAAGAGCCAGCGCCTCAGCTGACACAGGTTTGGTGGGGGGTGACACACCACTGCCTGCTGCTTATTAAAAGTAGTTGCTTCTAAAATTGTGCCCCCTGGAACATTACTGTGTCCTTTTTAGCACAAAGCGTACCACGATGCCCTTTGAGAACACTGTGTGATTCACTGCATGGCACTTTGGGTGCAGAAGAGCAGAGCCTTCCTCTTCTATCCACAATTCATAACTTACTCTGTGAGAGGTAATCCAGGGGTTTGCCCAGTGAAGAGAAACAGCTGCCATCACACATCCTGTTCAATATAAAATCTGGGGCATCAAGTCCTGGTCGTTTCTGTTGTGCCTGGTGGCTCAGATTTGTCATGGGGTGCAAGTTTCCTTGCACAACACCTTTACAGGAGTGTCAGGTTCTCCCCCTGCCCCCACTTAGTACCATGGGTTTGAATTTTGCACTGGAATTTAAAAAGTACAGGTGCTCAGTGATGGCAGAGAGCAAGGCATAAAACTGCAATGCTGTTTTGATGCACTGCTCTGTCTGAAAGGACAATTTATTTAACAGGCCCTTCTCTTGTGAACATCTGTGTTACCTGTGTAAAGGGAATGTTTCTGGTAGACACGGGACTTGGTCAGTGCCAACATGACCACACTCATTTGTACTCATTACAGTCAGTTTTACCCCACATTAATTGATGTGTGTGCTCACTCAGAAATATGTCAGTCACTTGGAACTGAATTAAAAATATGATTTCCCTTTTAGGACACCAGAATCCTACAGGTTTCTCTCAATTTTAACACACAGGCAACATCTTTTCTGTGGTCTTCATTGTCATACTGAGTTAAGTTTTCCTGCTATCAGAAATTCTGTTTACCATGCAAACAGCAGACACTCTAAGAGAACATAGCAAGGAATAAAGATAATTTGCACATTTTTATTATTATTAATCACCTTTCTTCAGCACAGTGTCTCTGCTTTTCTGGGAAAAAACCAAACACCCCTCATTTTTTTTTTGTTAGAGGAAGTGAAAGAAAACCACCTGAAGTTTGCTGTGGAAAGGTATGAACTTTTATTGACTCTAATTTACTTCACATTCACAACTCAGCATCAGGATTTTATCATCTTCCTGCCACTGCTATTTTACTCAGTAAATCATTATCAGGCACAAAGGTTTTAGTTTCAGTTGAAATGGTGAACTCTAAACCATCACAGCAACAGCATTAGAAATCTACTGCCTACAGCAATTTGAGGTACAGATTTCTGTCTCTTTGTTAGAGGCAAATTTAAGATTTCATCCTTTGCTTTAATATATGTTAGAATTTTTTTGGTTTTAATGTTTTTCCCTCTAAGAGTAACCAAAGCATTTGCCCAACTTGCTACATGTTCATAAAAATACAAGGCAGTTCTAGCAGAGTGGTCCTGCAGGCAGGGGCACGTTGAACACGCTGCTCAGACACACAAACATCCCTCTCCTGCACCTCTGGAAGGAAAGCCACGTCTCTGCTCCAGTGCAGGGAGGACAAAGGTACCACCACAGCCACACAGTTTGCCTCAGCTCCACCTCGCAGGAATGAGGTCATGAAACCCCCTCAGCTCCTGAGCTCCCTCTGGGGTCTCCAGGGTGGTACAAAGCCATGGCACAGCAGGAACAGCTGAAATAATGCAGCTTTTCTACAAACAGACAAAAAAAGATGAGCTTCTTGGTAGCTTTTCTATTCTTGCAACCAAAATGGCATCACCAGTATCTTGTTTAAATGGTGAACAGAAATGAAAATCTGAAAATGTGTACACATATACACACACACATATACATACACACTTGCATGTCAGTATTCTATACACAAACATCAAAGACAGACACCCACTCAGACCCCAAAATTGCTTTTGAGAGTTATTAGAGCAGTCCCTACTGATTTTATAAGGCAACTGTGCAGTGGAGGATATTTCAAAATTAACATTTAGTACCTGTCTTTCAAAAGTAAATTAAAAGGTGTTAAGATGTGTAGCTGAGGAGGCAGAGCCAGCACCCAGAGGCACAAACTCACTCACTCACACACACACAGCAAGGCAAGGCCCTGGACACCAGGAACAGAACCCTGTCCACATGTGCAGGGAAAGGTGGGTCCCTTCCCCTCCTCTGCAGGAGGTGCCCCCTCTCAGCCTCTGCTTACCTGACTCCCCTTTTTGAATGGTATAAAATGTCTTTTTAAGTCTGTTTGGCAAATACATATTTCAACAGGTTTTGTTTATTTTAAAGGCATATTATTTTTTAACCCCCTCCCATGCTATATATATAAAATACAAAGACCCTCTGCAGCATCTGTACACATCTTAGAACTGAAATGTAAAAATGTCTGTAATTTCCTTATAAAAGACAATTCTGTTTAAATATAGTACCCATTTTTTCCCCCAAAGGGTACTAGCCTTAATTTTTTTTTTTTAATTCCACCAGCTGCTTTTGTGGAGTATTTATTTACACATTTTTGGTACCTTTAAACCAAAGTTATACTTTTAAAGACAAAAAATATATATATATATAGTCAACTGTCATTTAAAAGAAAAAAAATTGGTACCAAAAGATACTAAGCACACAGGTTGAGGTCTGTTATGTCAAGTATCAGGCCAGGGAAAGCAGTGAGCTAATGGGAAAAAGGAAATCACAAAAGCAAACTAAGACAAATGTGTGAATAATGAGCTGAACAGTGAGATGACTGCTCCAGCGAGCTTGGAGATAAACACAACTGGTTTGTGGACCATGGAACGTGTTCAGCCCGTCTTGCAGCAGAAGTGGGCAATTGAGGCCAATACACGTTTTTTCCTCACAAACAGTTGAGCAGAAGGGTCTGGCTTTGTGTGACAGCAGCCCCGAGCCCCCTGCAGACACCTCTGTGCCCCCACACACAGCTCTGCACAACTTCTGCTCTTCCAGCCCCTGCCCAGGTGACTGCAGCACCACCACCCCTCGTGGGGCTCCCAACACTGACTGAGCCCTCCTTTCTGGAGCCCAGCTGGCTCGAGGGGGTTCTGCTGAAAGCTGCTTCATCCTACAGAAAAATGAGACGCTAGGCAGGGTCCAATGCTGAGGATTTGAGGTGCCTGTATAAAAAAAGTGAAAATCTCACCTGGACCACTCCAGAAATGGAGAGGGGGAGGCAGGGGATGGAACAAGAACTTGCCACAACAATCTCTTGTGAAAAGCTGGGGGGTGTCAGCTGCATTAGAGTAATCTTGCTACTGTGTCCTCCCAGTTAAAGGCACTTCTAAAGCTACTACAATACCACATTTACAGTAAATATTTTAAGGTTAACAGTGCATTGTCCTGACCTGGATTTCTACAGTCCGAAGTCAAGCTCACGACAAGGAGCACAATCTGACTAATTGTTAATGAACACGTTCTGCGGAGAGAAAGGGAACGGCCTCTCCCGTGGGTACACTCTGCATTAGCAGATGTGTAGGGTGACAACTCACAGAACATTAATGTGTTTGTATTTATGCATGAAACTATTCTTCCTGAAGAGGCTGTCTGACAAAATAGTATGTTCCCAGATTTCAGCTGTCATTTCGTGTCCATTGCACTGCTTTGGCTTTCCAAGCTGCTTTCTCAAAGGGTCATGTCAGTCACTGTCTGGGAAAAAAGGATATTCAAGCAGAACCCACATTAATGACCACACCAAACCTCTCAATTAGCTAACGAAGCACTCCATTGCATGTAAAGAGCCAAACCCCAAAGGACAGGAGGAATTAGGGACCAGAAGCCCCAGCAGAGGAGAACTCCTGAAGACAAAATTGTGCGGTTTGAAGCATGACTTGCCTTGCTTTTAAATATTTGTGCAAAACTTACGTAAGGTTTGTATATAAAAATTATTACAGCTTTCAATGCCGCATTTAGCAGTGTTAATTTAGAAAAGACAAAATGATATGCTGTATTCTCCTCAGACCTTTAAATCACCACATCACCTCAGTCTTCATTTGCCAGCGTCTCAGTGGACAGCCAGATTTTGGCACCACTCAAAAATTTGCTTAACGGTGTTCCCAGAATGCTCCGTCTGCAAAGGTTCCCGACAGGAGAGAAGGGGAATGAGGAGGAGAGGAAGTCTGGGGCGCCCGAGGTGTCATTGAAACCGCTGGCTCTGAAGTACATCCTGCTGTGATCCAGTTCCGTGCAGGGGCCTTGCAAGGAGAGGTTGGTTTTGCAGTGCCGAAGGCTCCGGTTCAAGGTGTCCACTTCATCGGCCAGCACGGACACCCTGTGGAAGGCGGCGACGGAGCCGCCGTGGCTGATCTGGGCCTCGGGAACCCAGCGGAAGTAGCACAGTTTCCACAGTTTGATTTGCGTTGCAGAGAGGTGGGGCAGGATCAGGCCATGCAGGTCCACTGGCTTTGCAAACCAGTCCCTGAAGAACTGCTCCCTGCTGTGGCTCGGGCTCTCCGCCGGCTGGAAAAGGTCCGGTTTCAGTTTTAGGATCAGAGAGTTTCTCCTTGGAAGGAACTCCTGCTCCCCGATGATCCCGTTCTTTAGTGCTGGGGGGGCACCTCGCAGGGTGGAGCTGTAGTTTTTCTGCAGAAAAGAAATAGTGGTAATTTTCCAGTTCGACACTCATTTGAATAGCAGATCTCCCTGAGCTGCCAGGGTGCATCACCCAGAGAAACTGTGACCTTTACACAGTTCTGAGCTTGTGAGGCACTACTGCAGAGCTCCCAGGGCAAACTGTGGCTGCTTGCGGCCTTACAAAAGAAATACATATGTTTTGTAGAAACAAATGACTTATAATCAGAATTTACGGAAAATACTGACAACCCTGGGGGGAAAAAGTGGCATGCCATCACTTTTCCATAGGTGAGATGATGCAAGTGTTGGCAGTGAGCTCAGTCACATCAGAACATGTTCCAGAACACAAGGCTCGACAATCACATCTTTGCCTCTGCAGAAAACCATTTCTGTCAGCTGGGAAGCCAAGGAAATGGAGGCTCCTGCTGTTAAACCGCCAGTGTAACACGCTCTGTGCCTGCAGCTCTCCCAGCAGGAGCCCCTGTGGGGCCCAGCCCAGGCCCAGCCCTGCCTGCCCATGGAGCTGTTACCTTGGAGCGTTTGAAGGATTTCATGGCCCCGTTGTGCACGCACGGCGCGCTCTTGCCCACGTACAGGGGGTTGTGGAACAGCAGGCGGTCCCGGCTGGAGAACTGCAGAGACCAGTCCCAAACACAGGGGAACCTGAGGCCTTTCTCACCACCCAGCTGGATGTTTTTGCTTATAGCGAATTCCTGCAAGAAGTTAAACATTCAGGGACATTGCTCAGAGGCAGCACAACAGAGCAGCGAGACAGCTGGAGAGAACAGCTGTGCCCTGCTCTCATTTGGGCAGTCACTTTTCAATTATATTGTTTGTTTGCTTACTCTTAACCCCCAAACTGTGCTTCTGAGAAAATACCAAGTCTCTCAATGCTCTAATTCTTTGTAAGGTGGCTACCTAAAACTTTAAAGGGAAAATATTTAACAAAATAAGTACGTTTCACTTTTGTCAACCATCAAATGTTTTCTACACACAGTTCTGTTCAGTTTTCAAAAACAAATTAAGTGTTCAGTCTTCTAAGTGTTTTCATTGCGAATTGCTATCTGAACTTTATGCAGTTTCCAACTTTTTCAACTATTTAAACAATTATGTCAAGAGATTTCAAAGTTTGCCTGAAGCGTGAAATTCTATTTATTGCCTGTCATTCTACTGCATCAGTTCCAGATATAGATTTGCTTCCTAGAGGAATACAAATAATAATGTACAATAGCAATGCTTTCCTAGGAAAAAAAAATTGGAATTCAATAGACTTTCTTCTTGAAGAGTTCCTGTCTCTGCAAAGATCACCTGAAAGGACATTCTGATCATCTTCCCCTGGGGACCCAAACGTTTTGCCCAAACAGAGTGTGACATTTTGAAAAACACACAGGAGCAGCTGAGCTGGGGTGATGTTGTTTCCAGAGGGGCACAGAGGTCCCTCCCTGCAGGGCAGGGGAAGAGCTGGCACTCACAGTGCTCTCCTTGACGCGCTGGTGGGGGCAGTTGAAGAGGAAGGTGCCGAAGAGCGAGATGCGGGCGCTGTCGTGCAGCAGGGTCAGGTACACCTCGGAGAACTCGAAGGCTGCTGGGTACTGCTCCAGCAGCTGCCACACGCAGTCAAGAAACATCAGGAACAAAGGAGACTGGGAAGAGAAGCAGGGGATTATGAGATTTATCAAAGGCTTCTCCCAGATCGTACTAATTTATTTGCAGTTATTGCTCCACTAGGGTATTTAGCTGTATCTCTGGTACATTACTCAACAGGGTAAAGTATTTGCAGTCTTGTATTTTTTATGGTTCTATGCAACTATAACACCCTGTATTCCTGTTTAGCCACCTGCTTTCTCAGAACTACCTTTGCACAGCTTTCCCTTCTTTCCTGGGTTCCCTTCATGCTTATGTAGCTATAAAAATACTTCCTGCCACCTGGATGTCCCTCATCATTTCCAAATTAGTTTGTATGAGCCTTCCTTACCTCTTGGCTTTGTATTTACAATATCTGTACTTCCTTCCTGTTTAAAATGACTGGAGAGCTCATGATTCAGCCATGTTAACTTCCCACTACATCTCTGGGCTCTTTCCATAGCAGCCCATGAATGGCAAAAGCATAAACCATCATTTACGTAAAGCTTTAGAAGTATTTTCCTCTTCCCAGTTTCACTCTTCAGTACATCCCTTCCAAGGGTCAAAATATCAGCTTTCTCACTATTTCCCTCTGGGCATTTCAGTTTCTTTCTCCCTTCCCTCTCCATGGCCTTGGTTTGTCTGTCAGCTCCACCTCTGAGGATGTTCCTTTTCTGAGGCTCTTGGGCACTGTCCCTGAAAAAGGCTGCTAACCTGGCTCCTCTGTTCTTCCAGCTGCAGTCTCTCCTTTGCAATGAAGAGGCCAGATCAGATTGGCTGGAAATGCTGGGAATGAAGCCCTGCACTCCCCTCTGTTGATGCCCCTGGAGCTGTGCCAGCTCTGAGCCTGCAGTGCCTCTGCACCAGCTCAAAGCTTTGAGGGCTGCACAGGGATCAGACTTTGGATCCAGAACACCAGGGATGAGAGCAGAGATTGCTGGCACAACAAACAAAAGCAAAACTACCCCCTGTAAAGCCACTCCTCACCTCCTTTTATTTTAATTTTAAACGTGAGCTGTGCTGCTGTTTGTAACAGTGGGAAGTTTTCCTGTGGAACACTGAAGCAACATAAAAATCCATTTGATTGCACCTGGTGTTTCATTGATTCTCACATGGCTACAGAGGATAAAGAAAAGGTATCTCTACTCTGGACGAAAACTTATTTTCTCTGACATTGTTTTAATGAGATTTCAAAGTATTAAAATGTATTTTTACTTCTAGATTTCTGTATAAGTGTCCAGGATGATATCTACCAGTTACTGTTATTACATGCAAATATAACTCGTTTTTACCTCTTTGTCAGATCTCTTTAAGTGGTTGCACCTGTCTAAAAACTGATATCCTGCCATGACCCATTCCTTCTGTATTAAGCTTTGAAATCCAACAATTGTTCGAAAATAGGGATCCAGCATGACTTGGATGAGAGAAGCAGCAAGACAGCTCAGGTCCCGTCCCTCTTCCTCTGTGAATGACAAACAGAATGAATACAACACAGAAGGTACATATGCACATGTGCAGAATTAGATCTCTGTAAGAGCAAAAAGAGGCACCTAGGTCTAGGTTTTTTTCTAATTTCTTTTAAAAGATCTTTTTTGTTGCTGTAATTGTTCTCGTCATTTAAAAAAAAACTAGAAGAAAAACACACTTCTTTTTTCTTAAACTGAGGCTCACAGTAGAGAAAGGGTTCCTGCAGTACTCAGCACAACAGTGCATCCATCAAGAACAAAATATTCCTTTGATGCTAAGGACTGTACTACAGTTCAGACACATAACAAAGTGATTTTCCTTTCTAGTTCCCCAAATGACTAACATATTTCGAAGTGATGGGGTTTATGTACAAAGATTACAGTTGATTTTATCTAACTCTGGTTCTCTCCATTATCACAGTAATGCTCAGAATTACAGCATGCTCTGTGATGCATTACCTTGTAGAACTACAGAGACGTGCTTGCACTCCATCATATAGACAAGCTCAGCAGAATGCCTCAGAAATGATCTAGACAGGAAAGGAAAGGGATTTAACAGTTAATGTAACAGGTTCACAGTCAACAATGGGATATCTACATATGTCTCTATATAACTCATATATTAAAGCAGAGAATCTTCCAAATGATGGATTGCTTATTTACACTGCTGAAAGCTTTCCCCAGCTCATTAAAACCCCCTCGTTAGTGGTACAAACCTAATGTACTCTAACCAGCGAGTGTTTTCCAGTGAGGACAGCCACTTCTCCTCCGTTTCTTCAAAAGGCTCTGCAACAGGGAAAGTAATGACATTGCAGAACAACTTCAGATAACTGTCCCTGTCAGCCAGATCTATTCGAATTCTCTGCATTTCAAGAAAATAACCACTGTGAGAGAAGGCCAGTCCAGCCTACCATTGACACAGAGCTGTTTGAGTTTGATGTGTGCAGCCTGGATTTCCTGGATGCTGGGCAGACACTTGTCCAGGTCAGATTTGTAAACATCACTTCTCAGGGGATGGCTCCGAGTTATGGCATTACAAATCCTACGTCAGGAAAAGAATCAGCAGGTTCGTTATTGCAGAGGAAAGAAACAGTCTGTCAAGAAATGAGCCACAGTCTTTAACTGCAAACTAGAACCACGTAAAACATGCACCTAATTCTCAAAAAAAAAGTTTCCTAGTTGATATCTGGGAGATATATTGCTCCTGCCATAAACCTAATGACTCAGAGATTTTTGGTATGTGCTAGTTACAAAACAAAGAAATGGAAATGCTGGAACATTAAAACAATGCATTTGGGAAATGAAAATCTGAGGCTGAATGACAGTTAAATAGCTCTATTCAATTTTTAATTTTCCATCACTTTTAATAAGACTTATCTATGCTAAATAAACAGAACGTACATAAAGCTTATGAAGTCAGGAAATCTGACAAGGTTTCAAATAAAACTCAGAGCTGCAGTTCCCACAATGCAGGTGTTTGCACTACCACAGAAAGTCACTCTACAAATTAAAGAACAAAAACCACCAAGTCAGTAAAGTACTTATGCAAGGCTCAATCTTTCATCAAGGACAGTGAATGTCAAATATTTCACAGAACTACCAAGTGCACTGTGGCACTCAATCTACAGAACTGTATTTCCCAATGTTCCCAGTGTCTTGCCGAAGCAGGTCAGAAAATCTCCACCAATGTAGGCTGTGTTACAGTAAATCTGATCCTTTATCAGTAAATCCTGCTGCCTAAAAAAATAAACATACCCTAAAATCTGAGAAGTTATTCAGTATTTGAAACTGGACCTTGAACAGAAATTGTGCCAGAACTATATTCAGAGAACACTCTCTCAAAAGTCCCCACACTACAACACTGTGAAGCAAATACCCTCTCCATGACCCATCCCTGCTGTGTGTCAGTCACCACTGGTGTTCTCCTGAGCCTCTGATGAAGGAATAACTCAGCTCATCACTTACCTTTGATCAATCCTTCGTTGCTGCAGTACATCTTTAATGTTGGCCATTCTCACAAGGGCGCTCCCGTTAGGGTGGTTCCAGGACCACAACTGATATGGGGAAAGAAACAGAAGAAACGACAAAATAGTGCAGGTTAGTGTTATTCTGTAGAAATATTTTGTTAATGCTACACAGAACTCTGTTCAGTGGCAAACACAACTTTAAGACCAATATTGTACAATGATCAAGATCAGTAACAGAATAAAGACAACACTTACTGGCATTCGCCTCCCAATAAAAGAGTAGGAGTATAGCTTAAGGTCTTGATCTGCTAAGGAAGATGGAACCACAAAATATTCTGGAAGGCTTGGGAAAAAAAATACAATACAGAAAGGTTACTTTTCCCAGTGTTTTTTCCCAGCTTTTCTCTTGTTGCAGGGCTGTGTTCCCAGCTCAGTCACCCTGCCCCACAGCCAGCCCCTACAGTGCTGTCCTTGTGAGGGACGGGCACGGCTCACACGGAGCTGTTCAGCAACGTGGATTTTCCACAGGGAAGGACAAGAGCACGAGAGCCACAGATGCCAAAAGATGACATTTCCTTTAATGAGAAGACTTGCAGGATATTTCAGCTGGGGGCCTCTCCAGAGAGCACGTCTGTGAGGTGCAGTGCGTGGGTGGCAGAGGAGACAGGACAGGGCAGTGCAATTCCCTTCCCTGGAGTCCCAGAGCAACTCACCAAGTAGAAATCATGTACCCTTCGTTGACTGAGCACACTCTCCACTCGGATGCACCTGTCCTTTTGATTTCTCTGTCCCAGTCAGAGTAGGTTTCAAACAAAGGTGTCTGCTGAGCGCTGGTGCTGCCGATGCCACTGCCACCACCTCCTGGGTCTATGCCATTCACCTTTGCTAGGAAGAAAAAAGTCATCAATGCACATCAAAAAAAAAAAAGAAAAAAAAAATTACCCCCTCACCTTCCTAAGTGCAAGACTGAGCCATTAGCATTGGGACTAATATCACCTATTCTTGCATTACAAGAAAGCAGTGATGTAATGACAGCTTGGTGACACATGAAGATGTAAATGCATTTTTTTCCCTGCAATTTCAATAGAAAACATAAAATATGCTGTGCTGCTTGATAGAAAGCAAGACGCATACTAACACTCAGGAACAAGTGTTATCTCCAGTCACACAATTTCTTTCTTCAATATGCCAAAATTCACATTTTAAAAACATGAAGCCTTTACAGACTACCCTTTAATAGGTACCTTCTGAAGAAAGAAAAATAAAACTTATATAATTTCACCAATTTAAATGACTGCTGTATTAACAGCAAATAAAATAAATGGAAGGCCAGGTCAAAATATGTTTTTATACATATGTATATATGTTTATATCCACAAAAAAAGATGGTCTACCATTTTGTGGCAAGGGACCAGGAGATTCTATAGTTTACTGCTAACACAGAAGGATCTCCTTTGCTGATCATTCTGTAGGTTCCAAGGAGGCAGTCAGCAATGTCAAAGGAAACTGCTTTTTGTTCCTTGGTTGGAATTTTACTTCCTTGGAAGTAAATTTTCAGAGGAAAGTGGAATAAACTGAGACAACTCTCTCAGTTCCCCCATGAAAGCGCTGATCTTTGGCTGTTCTAGCCTGGAGAGATGCAGGAGCCTGCCCAGCCAAAGCAGGAGCAGCGTCAGGGCTCTGCTGACATCTCCCTGACTGTGCAGTTTCTGTAGCTATCCATTTCATTCTTGCACTGATCCTCTGACTATTTATGTTTTTCTGAAGAAAACTGGACTAAAATCAGAAAGAAGTAGTTCTTCAAAGACAAAAGCAGAGAAATATGATAGTTAACAAAAAATGTCACAATTTTCCTGTTCAATAGCAGGATATATAATTATCCAGTATAGCCTGGGAAAAAAATGATGTACAGCAGAGCAATGCAGGCTTTTCATGTTCCACAGGGAGCACAAAGACAGGATCTCACCTCTTACTTTACTGGGAGTAGCAGGGATAGAGAGTCATAAAACAGCACTGGAATTGCAAGAGCAAGGCCAGAGATCTCTGCTACAAACCCCAGAGTTCACAATAACAACAACCCCCAAACCCAAAAGTATTCCCAGCTCTCTTCTGCAGCAGCTGCAGGACAGCAGAACAACCATCCTTTGCCATTCTGGTCTGCTGCTCCAGAGGAACGTTTTTACCCACCTTATGCAATTCTTCCACTAGGTATTTTTCCATACAGAAAATGGTATTTTAAGGACAGAGTAAAGGCAACTTTGTGACAGACTACCATTGTACTGCAATTTTATCTGCAAATCGGCTTCCTCCCTAGTCCTTTATAACACTACAGTACGTGGCCCTCGGTAACCGCCGGAGTTTCAGGGGGTAAGGAATCCTCTGTGTACTTGTGTGTGCAACATGACGACATGCACAGCTGCTCTGGTGCACGCACAGGGCGGGCACGGAGCCAGCTGCATGGAGAACATGCATTTCTGGGCAAATCTGGAGGCCTGCTCTCAGAATTCACAACAGTCATACTTGGTCACAGGCAGATCAGTGGTTTCTCGTGCCAGCTGCTGGGTGAATGTGTCAGTACCACAGAACTCCAGCAATGGCACTTTCCCTGAGGGAGGCTTGTCAGGCAGGGCTGAGGCTCTCAGCGTGTCTGGGCTGGGGAACACTCGCAGTGACCGCACAGCATCGCACTACAAATCAATTCCAAAGGATCTGGTTCAGGCTTACCTAACTGACAAGGTTCAGGTGGAGACTGGCCTTGAGCAGAGAGGGTGTGCTCCAGCTCAGCAGGGGTGGTGGAGGTTTTGAGTGGTAAGAACTGCCTAGTAAGCCTCTAGGAAAGAAGGTATGGAGTCCCAAGTTGCACAAATCCTCCTGCAATACCACCAGAAGAGAAACTTATTCCCAAAAGAAGGGCAGGTGAACAAGCCTGCCTGATGGGAGATTAACTGGCTACCTACAGCACTGATGCAGACATACAATAGGAAGATGGAAGTGTGGATTGAGAAATAGGAGTAGTCATGCTGACATCGTACTTTGGCTTTGTTTCAGACAGGACAGACATTTCTTTTGATTTCTGGTCGTTAATGTCTATCACAATGAATGACTTACAACCATTATAAGTAAGAAGTTGGGTGCAGAACAAGCTGATTTTGTTACCCCTGGAGAAAGCCTCAAATACTTTTTGCCACTGGTTCCAGACAGAAGTCTTACTAAAAACACATATTACGAAGTAGGAAAAAACCACAATCAAAGTATTTTCATACTTACCTAGATTATGATACATTTCCCCAACATACTCAAATGCAAAGAGAAGCTGAAGATCTGTTGGCTGAGAATAATGAGCTATTGCAAGGCACACCTAGGAGAGAAACATTTCTGTTATTTATAGACAAAAAAAATACTGCCCTTAAGTATGCAGAGCTGTTGAAAAGCTAAAAATCAGTCTTCTAGTATTTTATTTCCATATTTTATCTGAGTGAATGTATAGCTGCACATACTGATATCTGTGGCTGAATTTTTGGTAATAGGGGGCCATAGAAATAGTTTTGATTAAAAGCTGCTAGAAGCTTTTGCTGTTCTATGGAAAAGCCACTGACAGGCAGCTCCAGGATGGGCTCCCTACTGCTGTCCAACGGTACTGGCTGCTGTGATAACGTTTAAGAACACAGGAGGAGAAATCTGGGTCGCAGAAGAAATTGCAGCTTGGAGAGCAGAGGAGAACATGAGATAGCAATGCAGACTCCAAGGTCAGTGTGGCAGGAGGAGGGAGGAAGAGGCCCAGGGAGACCTCCCTGTCCCCCTGCAGCAGGGGACAGACTGAAAGCTGAGACCCCTGCCACCTGAAGGAAGATTACTGGGGTGAGGAGAACCTCCCTGCAGCTCCTGGAGGAGCCTACACTGGAGCAGGGGCTGCAGGAGGAAGACACTGCAGTCATACCATGACCATCTACCAGGAGTGACCAGCTGAGGGATGGACTGAGTCTTTGCAAGAAGGGTCAGACTGCAACAGGCAGCCCTAAACGTGACCCTCTGCATCCAGAGAGCCAAGCAAGGACGTGGAGTGTTGTGCCTGCCCAGCTGAACAGAGAAACAAGGAGGAGAACAGAAAGAGCAGAGCACAACACACAGGCAGTGAGCACAGCACAGCAAAATCTCATCTGTAACTGGGCTTTTGAGTGTGTTTTTAAAAATAAAGAGTACTTATCAATACAGCCTAAGAACCTACAGATGGCCGTGCTTCCCCAGGTCCAGCTGAGCACTCTGCTCGTGACAGCAGCCACCAATCCACGCTTAGGCAAGGGGGGGAGACACACAAAGCACTGAAGGGAATTTTACCAGCATCATTTTCAGCAGTTCAGCCACTTCCTGAACTAAAATTTGGTATCAGTATTTAACAGCATTTGATAGATATTTCTTGCACAAAGTTGTTGGCTGGACCAGGAGGATTTTGATGTGACATCCCTTTACAAAAGTCCCTTGGTTCTTCCCCCAAGACTCCTGAGATTAACGTTGAGTGCAGCAAATGGTTTAGAATTAGAGACTAGACTTAAAATAGAGTCAAACCTCTCTAGTTTCTCTCTCTTTAAATGTAGATAGTCACTAATAGATACAAAAGATTTGACTAAAAGCTTAATATCTAGGAGAATGACACTCAGGAATTTTAAAAAATCAAGTAGAGACTGGCACAGTTATTCTCCAAATTGCAGGACTTGAAGGGGTCTTGAGCTTTGCCCTCTTCCCTCAATATCTGCTGCTCCATTTTACTACAATGAACCTGCCTTATCTCTAAAGAAAATACTTGATGAAAAGAAGGCTATAAAGCACAGAACTCTGTTCTACATGTTCAGATACAGATATTGCATGGGATAGTTTTTAATCAGGGACAAAGTACAAGCCCACATTATTATCACCTAAAATTTTTCCTATTTTCTTCCCTCCCTTCAACTTCTCATGACTTTACATATTTGGGAACACAATTACACATTTATTCATGGTGTAGCAGTTTAGGATACTATGTTTGAAACATATTCTGTGCATCCAAGAAACTGCTTTCTGTTAATGAAGAAAGTTTTCTTGGTGTGATTGCCATAAAAGAAAGATTTGCACAACAGAACTCAAGAAATGACAGCATTGGGGCAGAGGGGAAAAGCCTGAGAGCTCAGTTCTGATGAGTTCTGCATGGAGAACTTGTACTGGCTTGTATGCAATATATATATGGCATTATGGAACCTTTGCTGTGTTTCTATATACTTTGGCTTTTGATGTGGACATTCCTCGTTATTTATAAAACCAGAAATGACAATAGACTAACTTGAGCTGAAAATCATCTTTCACAAACGCTCCCTAACAAAAAAATTCCTCTCAAGCCTTAGAACAACAGTTTCTTTAACTGTTCTCCCCACACTTTCAGCTCTACAAGGAAACTGCAAAAGCAAACAGAGGACAGAACATTCTGAGGGTGACAACCCCCCCGAGCACCCAAACAGCACAAGTGTCCTGGGAAACAGCAGGACCTGTCAAATGAACATTTACAAGCTTATTTCCAGGACCTGGTAACATTTTTAATGACTATCATGAAATAACTGGAAGCCATGCACATGTTATTAAATCTTGTGATGTCAGGGTAAAAGCCAAAGCTGAAGAAGCCAACTATTCAACAATATCTGGCCACTTCTAACAGATTACTTTTGGTCACCACTCAAAATGAAACAAAATGGAGATCTCTGTACATACACATTTTTACTTCCATTTTTCTGTGTAGCTTTTCACTACTAACTGATTCTAGCACAGCTACTGCTCATGTATGGAGTGAAAGCTGAAAGCCTTTTACCATACTGATCCACTCTCAAGGCTTCAGGATGAACTGCAAGACATGAAAAAAATTCTACTGTGCTGCCAAATAACACAATAGAAATACAGTAAAATCTATTTTTGAAAGCAGCAGCTGAAATCTCAGTCATTTACTTGCTACATTTGAAAAAGATGGGAGGGGGGTGTGCTGTGTTAAGAGGGATAAAATGGCAGGAGGGGGGATGGAACCACTCAGATCTGGTTCCCCAAAAACATGACACCATAGCTGTGCTCGTAAACAAAGCAGCAGCTGAAAAATCCCTCCAGGGGTTCCAGAGAATAGAAAAAACACACCAGGTATTGCATGGATGGAACAGTTAAAGACCTCTATTTCTTTTCTTTAAAAGAGTGATATATTTATCCTGCTACTATCTTTATTTTTACATTTTAGAAATATTCTGCTCATATATATATATTAAACAAGCATTAAAGACATATTAATTTTCCATTTATTCCTCACTAAATCCCTATAGTAGTTTTATAGTCCTAAAGATTCCAAAGACAAGCACATTCCACAGATCTCAGCAGATTATTGCCCTGAGTGGAAAGCTCTTACATTGGAAGACAAACATGTTTTACAGGAAGCCTTCTCATATCGAATTGAAAAATGTTTGGTATCCTTGCCAATTTACAATTGTGTAAAGCTCTAGATATTCAGACAAATAACAAGAGAATGGGCTGCTTGTTGGAAAGTTCATGCATTAAAAGCAGTAAACACAATGGCAGCAGTTATTTCATAGTACAAAGGCCACTTCCCTATGTCAGTGTCCCCTGTTCAACCCTTATCTGAGAAAAATAAATGATAACTTTCAGGGCACACCCTCCACTTCAACAGGAATTTTACCAAGGACAAGAGCTCCAAGGTATTTCCAGTGCTCCTGCAGAAGAGTTTTGACCAGTCCTGTTCCAGATGTGCTCAGGGAGCACAGCCCTGCTTCCTCAAGCCAGGCTAGCTCTCCTGAGCTCCCTGGAAGGAGGATGCTTTCCTTTGCTCCTGCAGCTCCTGTTCCAAGCAGACACCTGCAGCAGAAAGTCATGCAAGCAGGGCCAGATCAAGTCCCACAAACAGAATTTGTTAATCCTCCTAAGCTGGAAGTCTTCTCAGGAAAATAAGTATTCAGGCAATAAATCTTCCAGGCCTAGCCCTCACACAGGTTCTCACAGCTGCAAAACTATGAACTGTCTAACTGAGAACTGCTTTTCCCCTTCTGTAAGAATCCCAACACCAGCTGTACAGAATACTTGATTTGGTTTGAGGATAAGGAGTCTGCACAAGAGGAAACACTACAAAGCTTTCAAAAGCTCAGGTAAATTTTTATGTATCAGGATCCTCGTTTGTACAAGAATGCGTTTGGATTCTAAGTACAGGTTTCCTAAGCATTAAGAGAATTATTAAAATACCTCTGTTTTTTAAAATACCTTTTACCTTTGTCCAGAGAAGCTGTGGATGCCCCAGTCCTGGCAGTGTTCAAAGCCAGGCTGGACAGGGCTTGCAGCAACCTGGGCTAGTGGAAGGTGTCCCTGCCCATGGCAGAGGGCTTGGAAGTAGATGAGCTTTAAGGTCCCTTCCAACCAAAACCATTCTGTGACTCACTTCTGAAATAAGTTTTCTTCACACTCTCCAACCCACTCCAAGACAGTATCTTCCCATGCATTCCCTGTGCCTTGAGACATTACCAATTTTGTGATCTGTATAAACAATTAGAGCAAGGTAATAGAGTTGGGGAACACATTAGAAAGGGTCAGGACCATTTGTCCAAAACTATTAAGAGTTTCACATTATTGTTCATAACAATTAGGGAAAAAAAGTTCCCCTCCATCCCAAGTGTTGTGACGTAGGAGAAGGCTGGTTTTGATTGCACAGGAAACAAGATTTGAGATAACTTTCCTTCTCTTTTGATTGAGCATGTGATTCTGAGACTGCTCTCATTTTCATTCAAAAAGGCTTCCTGAAGGAAAAGAACTGAGGGAGTTCCAAAAGAGAAAGGGACTCAGAAAATGGAGATACATTTATGGAGATAGAGGGTGTGTGCCACTCTGGTGCACTGCCAAGATCCATAGGGACGGTGAGCAACACTATCCATCATCTCACAGCCATAACATCTAATGCCTCACCTTTTCAGATTTATTTTCCCAGTCTAATGTCAAGTACTGTAGTGCCTAAAAAATGGCAGAACTTTTCAGTTTGACTGTTTGTTGTCATTTTTTGAACAAAATAATTCCTTTCCTTTAAGGAATGTGAAATGCTTCTTTTTTTGCACTGCCTAACTTAAGACTTCCCTAGCTTGCTTACCCTTACTTCCCCATCCTCCACTTCCTCCCACACCCATCTGGCTTTCCTTCCTTTGGAGACTCTATAGCTTTATTTTAGAGACAAAACAGAATTAAACTGCTAAACAGTGATGAGTGAAAATTTCCATTCCCTCTGTTTTTCCTTAACTCTTGTCTCCCAAACATCCACTAATAAAAATGAGGAAGAAAATATTTACCTGACTGATTAATGCTGAGATCCTCACAGAGAGACTTGGAATAATCTCTATTCTAGTAAGGCAGCTTAATTAGTTATTCTCCCTTATGCCCTGTTCAGCAAATAGAGGCATTTCCTTAGGAACAGATTACACTCTCTTTGCCAATACCAATTTATGTCACTGAATGCTGCTGAGTATTTCCAGCACATGCACAGAACTGTGCAAATTACTTAACTGTATAAAGTTAGTATCTGTCCTCTTTGTAACTATTCCATACATTTAAAGCTCATTTTAAACAGTAATTACCGTGTGTATTGTTCTTACATAACTACTGCTCTAAAAGAACATTTCCTATCACCTGGCAACAAGTTAGAGACATTTATACTCCTGTAACTTGAAGTGTGTATTTTAGCAGCTAGATACTTCATTTTGACCCACCAGTGCTTTATTTTTAGGATGCTACTCCTCTGTAGCAACCTTCATTACAAGCTGATCTAATCTTGGTGCCTGAGGTGAGAAAGCTGGACCAGGTGGTGGTGCCCACAGCCCCTGCCATCCACAGTCATTCTCTGCTACAACATTGTGCCCCTCAGAGGACAGTGCACAGCCAGCCCACGAGCAGGATTCCCCTCACATCAGAACTCAGTTACACCTTAACTCTTGGTCTTCCCTACACAAGTTATGCACACACAGTTATTTCCAAGCAGACAGCTCCCAGTGTTTTCAGGCACAAGGAGAAGGATGTAAATATGGATATAAGAGGCCCTTCAGAACTTTAAGGAGGCCTGGCCGCCATCCTTTGTTTTTAAACATCAGGGCAACTTTGCTAATAGGTACTCCCTGAAGGGCAGAAACAGAAACCAGATAAAATCTTTCCAGAGTGTGGTGCCAGCATGCCACCTAAATGTCAGAAAGAGCAAGACACCTCCATTCAGTATGCTGTGTAAGACCATTCTAGATGTGCTCACCAGCACCCCAAAATAATATAAGCTAAATCCTGATACAGGAAAACTGATCTAAGGACCTCCTGGTTTTAGACATTTATATTTTAAAGCTAACAGATTATGTTATTAACAGAACCTTTTCGCCTTCAGTATAATTGCACTCCTGTGACACACCCACGCAAAGTTGCAGTGACCTACTTGCTGCATTAAAACTGCAACAGTAGCCACACAGCTGACTTTGGACTCCTCTAGTGAGCATGTTCTGATACTTGAAAATGGCAGGTGTAACACTTCTGGTCACCACCAGCACAGTGTTTGTAACCACACAGACTCAGATCCTTGTGGATCTCCAGAACTAGCTGTTTTTCCTAGGAACCACCTAAGAACATGTAAATGCCTGTAAATGCCTAAAATAAGTGCCCTCCTAAAAAGGTTTCCCTGTTTGCTCTTGCAGAAGTAAATGCAGCCTGAAAAGTGTTAGTGAGATACTGAGTTTATTCTCCCTTCCTCCCTTGTCCAGGCTAATCACCCCCTCAGCCGGAACAGCCAATTAGACACAGTTGCTGTCCAGATACAGCAGGCGAGGGCTGCTCCAGGGAGGAGTGTTCTGGGAAGCTGTCACAGGGCAACTGACTGCTGGAAGATTGCCAGGTGTGAAAGGTTACAAAGAGCCAAGGCAGCAGCAGGGAGGGAGCTGCACAACTGGCAAGGCCAGAACAGTGTCTCCAGGATCCACCTCCTGCCCTGGTCTCAGGGAGGGCAGCAGGGAAAGGCCAGCTCAGCAGTTACTGCGCTGGGAACTGCAAACAGACACGCCTGGGCAGATGGTTCTTAGGACTTACAGGGCTAAACTCAAACCTCATCCTACTGAGAAGGGGGATTCTTAAGCTCTGAGAGCAAACGGGGTCATTCCTTAGGAAAGGCCAGCTGTGCTAAGGAGGCCAGAGGAGCTGGAGCAGCCCAGGGACACCGGAGAGCCAGGACTGCTCTGCAGGCTGGGCTGCTCTGCAGGCTGGGCACCTCTGCCAGCACAGCTCACCAGGACTGCTCTGCAGGCTGGGCACCTCTGCCAGCACAGCTCACCAGGGCTGCCCTGCAGGCTGGGCACCTCTGCCAGCACAGCTCTCCTGGGCTGGCACAGCCCCAACAACCTCGCCCCACTCCGGGAGACTCGCGACAACAGGGGGAACTGGGCAAGGAATGACATTTCTAGGAGGGGACAGGCCCAGGTAACTCCTCTTGTCAAGAGGCACACCATTCTTCTCTGAGAAAATGTTGAGCAAAAGCACAGTTTTATGCAGATTAGACAAGAACTTGCTGTGTAAAACCATTAAGGAGGATGTCCCTAAGGCAGTACACTTACCCTAGCGGGAAACGAGGCTTGCAACTTTCAGAAAACGTATCAAAGTTTCAAACATTTTCCATAAAAAGGACAAACATCTGTTGTACAGCTGCAGTGCAGTATTTGGATTCCAGTCTTTAAAAAGGCTTATTTAATAAATTAGCATTTTTTTAAAGTACAATAGATAAGAGAAGATACACAGGATTATCTACTATGATAAGAAACAGTTAATACATCACATTAAATTTTTTCCCTGAAAATTCTGACTCTAGATACCTAGATATTCTCCTGTAATAGAATGTGATTAATTTGCAATTCTTACCCCCTAACTTGTCTATCAAAACGTAATACAAAATGTTCTTATCTGCACAACTGTTGCTACGTGTAATGACTACAAGGCAGGACATAAGAAGAAGACAATAATACCTTTTTTGCACTTTCGGGTCCTGCCTCATCAAAACGGAATCTGACAATCCGGAAGTCTTTGCAATAAATTATTAATTCAGTTGGATTAAATTTAAGTTTTTGGTTGGGACCCAGGACCTTCTGCTTCCTCTTGGTGTCATTCACTGCAAAGAAGAGACAACATTATTGGCCTGTGTTCTGTAAGTATTCACAAGGCTGGCTCAAACAGACACAGTCATGTTGCTACCAGTTTATTTAATAGAATATTTCAATTGAGGTAGAAAATCTGATAATTTCTGTTAGTAAAAGCTTGTGCTTCACTAAATTTAGGGTAAACATCATGTTTTTTAAAAGGGGCAACACATCTGGGCCAGTGCAAGACAATATAACAGGTCAATAGCACCTCTTCAGTTTAAAAAAACCTTTTCTTCATAATGTTCTTCCTCAGATCCACATTAATCTTATTTTTCACAGTGATCACAACAAACTTTGAGCACTGAAAACTTTTAACTGATGATTTAAACTCCCTGAAGTCAGAAACCCAAGTATTTAACAGCTCATGCCATAAAGAAGATTTGAAGAATTACCACTTTTATGAAATTAAAGAGGAAAAACACTCCTCTTAAGAAATGGCTTAGCCTCAAGAATCCAACAAATCAGAAACTGGTTCTTCATAATAAGTATTTTAATTCTTTAGATTAAGATGTCTACTGCCATTTGCAGATTTTTTAGGACCATTAGCTACTAACTTGCTAAGAATTGGACAAGATTGAAAACCACAGCATTTCTGTTGTCAGATATCCCAGCTATGTGTAAATTGTATAAGTGATGTGCTTTTTGCCATTTAGTGTGTTTCAGTGGCAGATTCAGATGCTTGAATATAAATAAGTTCCTAACAACATTTTGTACTTCTACAATAGGTGTCTATCCTAGAACACCCACTGATTCAGTACTGCAGTTAAATTCAAAACCAGTGTAAAGATCCAACTAAATAAGTCTCCTGCATGGCACCTCAGGATTTATTCAGGGTTACTTTTAAGGGTTTTATCCTAACTTTAAATAAACCAAATTCCTCGAATCAGGGAAAGTGAATAACATAAAATCTTAAGTGCCAACAATTCTGCCCAGCTGTCATTCCACGCCCCTGCTCTTGCCGTACCTGTGACAATCTGCTCGATGCACGTGAGCGGCACGTCGTGTTCTCCCAGGAGGAGGTTTTTAAAATGGAACTTCTGAAACACAGGAACTCACAGCCATTAATTGCAGTTCTGCATTTGCAACCAGACATACACAGCACAGCTTTGAAGAAACTAGGATAAAAATCAGGCATGCCTGGGCTTTTCTGACGTGTACCAAACCACCCTTGCCTGTTCACGGGCAATTAGAGGTTGTGGAAGCCTTCTTGTGCTGGTGAACTGCACACCCAACATTTCAGAAACCCCAGCAGAGTGTGCAAATTAACCTCAATATTTGCACTGAATTTACTGAATTAGCCTCAAAAATTACTGGTAGAAATTCAATACAATCTGAAGTGTAAAATATTTATGGAATATAAGGAATCTCCAATTATTACTGTAACCATAGAAAGAAAAAATATTAAGTCTCCTTTAAGGAGCAAGTTTTGACAACTACTTCATGTCAAAAATTAACCCTTTTGAAGTAGCTTTAGTCAGACTTACTAACCATCAATGAATGAGCATCTATCTACTTTCAGAGCTTTACACAATGCCTAGTTTTTTTAAAACCCCAAGTGAAAGTGCAAACTCCGCTGAAAATACTATACAGCTCATTACTTGGATTTCCTGACAGTGCAGTGTGCTGTGCTGTTCAAAAACGGATCAGGGTTGTGAATGTCACATGTTCTGCTTTGGCAAAGACAAAAGAATTTCTCTCTCCCCTTTTCTTGTTGCTTCATGTACAACAAAAACTCACGTCATGGTTCCTCTGCCCTCAGTCAGCAACGCCAATAAAACTCAGCCACACGAAAGGCTTTGCTGATCTGGCACCGGTCTGTTCAAAGGAACACTGGCAATTATCTCCTTCAGGGAGGAACACGTTTGTTTACAGCCCCTGCTCTGCCTTTGGTCAAAGCACTCCCCAAGGCAGCTGCGCTCCCAGAGGTGAGAAGAGCTGGGTGTGCCTCTGTGCGAACCTGCTCTGTTCTCATCCTCTGAGAGAAGGGATGGAACAGCAGCACACTCCCAACAGGACACTGGAAGCTCATCCTTCAGCCTGCTCTGTTTTAGGGGGCATCCTGTGGATATCAGATATGAGCCATCCTCTGTTCCCCCTGACACTGCCCTGGTGCAGCAGCGTGAGCAGCGACAAACCTGCAGTGGCATCGGGTCATCCGTAAGGAAGGAAATCTTGAAGTTGGTGCAAACCAGCTTGCCCCACAGGTCATACTGGCTCGTGTCTGTTGCAATGCACTTCCTTACAAAATTCACTTCATTTACCACAATTTCACCTGAAAAAGAAAAAGGGGAGGGCAAAACAGAAGCCTTTATACATCTTGTAGGTACAACAGTTCTTAAGTCTGTAGTACCAAGAAACCCCTAACTCTTTACCTCTTGCAAGTTATACACCTCTTCTGAGTAAATCTGGAATTTAACTAACACCAGTCCAGGGAAAAAAAGAAAACTACCATTCTAAAATGGGCAATATTATGCAGTAGTTAAAAGGAAAAAAACAAACAAAAAACCCCCAAAAAACCCCAACCAATCATAAAAAACAAAACAAAACAACAACAAAAAACCACAGCCAAACCAAACAAAACCACACACCACTTTCCTTATATCCAAGATCAAAATCTGCAATTCTTCACTATTAAAAATTCATTGGTTTGAACAACACTGTCCTTTAAACAAAAGCATACATTCCTGAACTTCAGCTACTATTTATTTCTAAAACTGAAATTAGCTGGATATTGTTATGTACTTCAGAGTTTTATGAACTTCATGAATTCAGAATTACCAGGCCACATCTAGTTTTGTATTTATAAACAGATTTTCAGGTGATTACAAAAAGAAAAACCAGAACACAAACCCATTTCAAAGTTTCTACTGTGACTGTCTACTGAAGGAGACCAATCATTTTCCTTTACAAAAAAGAGATCTAAATGAAGAAAAAAATCAGTTATGCTAATTGGTCTGGCATAAGTCATAAAATAAAAGAGCACACAGGCATTTGACACTGATGACCACTTGAAAAGCAAAAGTAAATCACTACATATAATGTTACTTTTTAGTTCTGCAACAGAGGTTTCTGGAAGCAAAACAGCAATTCTTACTTCAGGAATTTAACGTGGTAATCCATTTTACTCCTGTGTAGGACTTTTTCTTCTGTCATCAGATGAACCACCTCCAGCTGCTGCTGTCTACCATAAATAGTGTGGGAGTGGAAGTGTGTTCCAGAAGTGTAATTTCATACTGGCTGTAGGTTTCTGGTTAAAAAAGACTAAGGACTAAAGATTGCTAAAGCCTAATTTGCTCATAATAGGTTGGGCATGTTTAGTCCCAGTTGCCTGAAGTGCAGTCTCAGAGTGTCCTGTGTTTTGCATGAAAACTGGCAGTTCTTTGGGTGGCTGGAATGGCAGGAATCAGTTATTTGTGTCCAGTGAGAGTGAACACAGCTCGGAATAAGCTTCCCACCTGTGTCCTGAGCTAGAGAAAGCATTTTCCTCAGATAGTTCTCACTGCAGCCAAGTGACCAAGTTCAAAGGACTGTCTTTAGCATCCCCAGACACCTGAGCAGAAGTGGACCTTTTGCCAGTTCCTGCACATGCTCCTCACCCCGAGCTCTTTAACTCCACTGTCCTACTGGCTCTCACCCCTAATCCGATGAGGGATCAGCGTGGAAGTCACTAAGAGCAGCAGCAGAATCCCTGCTTTTAGTTCAGTTGTGATAGACAGCTACAAAAATCTCCTGGACTAAGTCTGTAGCCCTGAGCTGTCAGCATTAAGCTTGAAGATGTCAGGAGACAAGTCCCATTGACTTGTGGTTATGATGCCAGAAGTGGCAGGAGTAGTGAAAATGCTCTATAAACAGATATGCTGGAGCTTTAAAGCCTTTTCTCAAACACTGCTAAACTGTGCTTAAATAAGCTTTTGAATTTGAAAACAAAAAATCTGATTCTGTCAGCTTCAGCACAAATAGTTACAGTTCAGCCAAGTCCACAGCAACTGAAAACAATGTCTTATAACGGGGTACATGAGAATGACAAGCCCTACTTCTGCTAAACACTGCAATGAAAACCTTTCAATGCTTCTGGCAGTGTCTGGCCTGCAGCTTCTTAATGCCCAGCATTTCATTTCTTTTAGTAAGCCATTTACTTAAGAACTGCAAAAGCCCAAACCATATATTGAAGGAATTTCTCCTCGCAGTTGGTGTTAAGTCTTCAACTATTCAATGTCAAGTTCTCAGTCGTGTCTATGAAGCTTCTCCTCTCCACAAACTGAGTGCTGCATAGTTTTTATTCTGCCCTCTCAGTACTGCCAGTGTATCACTGCATTTCTAATCCAAAAATACGGAGAGTTAAATACGCCATGAAATGAAGTGCAACTGCCATGGGGTTTTTTTGGTGTAACATTCTCTTATCTGTTATCAAGTGTAATATTGTTTAGTATCACACTCCTGCTAAAAGCACAAATTACTATTACCAAACTATTCCAGTACTTCGTGGCTTTGATGCTACAACATACAAACATCTCCAGTTTGAATGTGCTACAGTTTAAACCTTGCCTCATCACTCTCTCACCAAGGCCAGCCCTTTTCACTTCCCTCCTCCATTCCTCCGAGTTGTGTGGCTGCACTGCCACATGTTAATACTAATCCTATTCCAGTGCACCTTCAGTTACTCTCATTTCAGCCAACACAAACACAGTCTGGATCTTCTGGCCTCGCTTCTCCCTTGCTCTCAAGCTGACACAGAGCTGTGGGTTTTGAACCTGAGGGTTATGGTATGGTAGGACAGGGAACGCACGCACACGGCTTCAACAGAGGGGCTGACACACTGACCATGAAACAGGAGAAAGTTTGCCATGCAAATTTAAGAGCTGCACTTTCCAAACACCTCTAGAAACTGACTTTTTAAAATGTAGCTTTGGAATTTTATATTGACCTGTCTTTTATCGCCTATTTGGACGTCTCTAATGAGCAATATAAAAAGATGTAAATTAAGTCAAGTTTAGGAAAGCAGATAAACAACATAAGTAGTAAGTGTAGGACTTGCACAATGAAGCCTTCTTGTATTTGCAGTTGAGTAGGTGATTTTTCTACACAAGTGTCAACAACAGAGCTATTCAGAGATATTGCACTGCACATTTCTACAATGTAGCTGCTGCTTTTTTTCCAGTAAACAGTCACAAGCTGTTCCAGACATGGAACAGCAGTCAACACTTCCATGTGACTCCAAGAGTCAAAGAATGATCTCAGGAGACAAGAGCAGTTTGTTTAAACTCTGACAGGAAACCAGAAGAAAAATTACAGGTTGCCACCCTTACACATAAAGCCTAATCATGTTTAATAAAAATATTTCTACACTGAATACATGAATCACAAAAATAACACAAGAGACCGAAGGATCTGTCTAGCAAGTACACCCTCCACTAATGCACAGCATCTAAACTGCTCAGAGAAATTCTGCTGAATCTCCCAAAAGCACCTGCAATCTGACTGGTTCATATTCTGGATGTTAAGAGAATTTGTGGTATGTATCTAATCCACCATAATGCACTGCAATCAAAATAAAAATCAGGCAGCAGAGCATGGGAACACCTGGAACTGGAGCCAAGAGGGGCAGGACTGAAGGTGCTGAGTGCAGAGACCAGCAGGAGTGATCCACGGCTGGGGAGTGATCCACGGCTGGGGAGTGATCCACGGCTGGGGAGTGATCCACGGGTGTCACGGCAGGGAGTGATCCACGGGTGTCACGGCGGGGAGTGATCCACGGGTGTCACAGCCAGGAGTGATTCACAGCCAGGAGTGATTCACGGCTGGGGAGTGATCCACGGGTGTCACAGCAGGGAGTGATCCACGGGTGTCACAGCAGGGAGTGATCCATGGGTGTCACAGCAGGGAGTGATCCACGGGTGTCATGGCAGCGAGTGATCCACGGGTGTCACAGCCAGGAGTGACCCACGGGTGTCACGGCCACGAGTGATCCACGGGTGTCACAGCCAGGAGTGATCCACGGGTGTCACAGCAGCGAGTGATCCACGGGCGTCACAGCCGGGAGTGATCCATGGGTGTCACAGCAGCGAGTGATCCACGGGTGTCACAGCAGGAGTGATCCACGGGTGTCACGGCGGGGAGCGATTCACAGGTGTCACGGTGGGGAGCAGCAGCCCCCTGTTCTCCCCAGCCTGAGGTCACACTGAGCCTGGGCCAGGCTTTACTGCAATTTGTTTCCTCAGAATTTGAAACCACAACCCCTAATCCCTCACATCCTAAAATAAAGGATGTTCTGCACCATTTTCCCCACAATGTTTTCGTAACTTTTGGTGCCATGCCTCACAGGATCGAGTTTATTTTTTTGTTTATCTTATGAAGGTAGCAATTTGTAACTTGTATGAGGAACTCTGGATCTAATACCTGCATAAATACAGATCACACAAAATATCTAAAAAATTTTCTTAGTTTTTTTGTGTATTTTGTTATCAGTCATGGGGCAATCAGACAACAAGAAAATCTGATACATCTGAGAAACTAAGCTAGAATTAGCACTGCTTTAGAACTCGTATATCAAAAATTTCCTTTTTTCTCTAGAGGCAACAGGGCAACAGTCTGGATTCTTTACAGCAGATGCATAAATAATCCTCTTTCACCTATATGGCCAGTTCCAGTGTTTGCTGCTTTAAGATTCTGTATTATCTTAGCTTCAAGTTCAAGAAACATGCCAACAAAGGAAGAACCTCAAGCAATTTCTAGGTTTTCAGTTGCCAGACTCTTCCATCCAAAAGAGTTTCTAGCACAGTTGTGCTGCCTGTGGATCCAGGAGGAAGGCAGCAGAACAGCGGATCTCACACCTCAGTGTCCAGGGAAGGAGGCTGACTGAGGAGCACCAAGGACCCCAGCCCTCCCAGTGCCCCAGGTGACACCAGCTGAGCAGTGCTGGGCAAGCCCCAGTCCTGACTGAAGGACCCCAACCCTCCCAGTGCCCCAGGTGACACCAGCTGAGCAGTGCTGGGCAAGCCCCAGTCCTGACTGCATCCAGCAGTGCTGCACAAGGAGAGGCAACATTTCTGCTGTATTTTAGAGAGACACACACCCCCATCCAGCTCGATCTGCAGACACAGAGCATGGCACACATGCATACATCCACATCTGAAAATACTAACACACAATATTTTCATCACATCAAGAACCTGATACTTGCTAGAGGCAACGAATGGCTGAAATCACGCTCCATAAATTAATAATGCAAGTGCTACACGCTCAGTAAGTTTGCAGGTACCCTACATGTTGCTA